TGCTATATAACACAATGTAATTCCTTGCTATTATCACACAATTCTCATCCTTGTGTCCGGCCTACCCTCGGCCGCCGCTTTGGCACCTCGTTACAAGCCACGAGAGCTACCTCTGAGTGACCATTGCCCCGCCGCAGGGACGTCGTTAATTCCTAGAGTATTTCCGCTACTCTAGCGACCTCCTTATTTTGAACAGCTATGTCAAACCGACTAACATAATACCCAAATAGTGCCGATGTTGGATACGCCCTTAATGACAGCCATTATGTAAACTTATGTTATCGCTGAACGAAATGTATGAATCAGGTTCGAAATGTATGTATGTACCGACTAAATGTACGAAATGTATGAGAGGCAGTGGCAGTGGCGAAGAAAACGTCGTCAGCTGGAAGGTGGAGAGGAGAGCTTCGTAAACATCACGGCCAGCACGTAAAACTGACTTGGCTCGGTGGGACACGGGATTTGCTCAGGGTGGATCCAACGGTGGAACAGTTTCTATGCACGGTCAAACCTGAACTATCTTGCCACGTATGCCTCGCTCAAATTTCGCTTGTCACCTGCTCGGCACGAAACAAATTTTCGGGATTCAACAAGCTGGGAATTCAAATTCGTGCCGAGTCGACGCCACCACAAATATGCCTCCTGCAAACCCGAGCCGCGCATCGAGCACCACCCCACCGAAGCGCCCTTTTCAAAAAGCCCGCCAATTGGCTCTACTGTAAGTAGGTCGAGAGTAAGTTGACAGAGTTAGTTCTGTTTCCTCCAGAAATAATTACTACTGCGATTACTTTCTTCAGACACGTTAGCAACCATAGGAACGTCCTTTATTTTGGAGTCTCACCTTCTTCTGCTTCCATTTCTTTCACGTGTGTTTTTCCACGTCCTGAATTAGTAGTCGGCATAATCTTCTCGATAGTGATGCAAGGACCACCGTTAAAACCAACGGGTGCACTACAATTATGCGATCCATCAGCAGCTGCAGAATCCCGCTCTCGCTCTTTTCCTCTCTCCGTACGATTTGACGGAACAGCCGCTGTTTGGAGTGTCAGCCGGCTAGCAAGCCCCCGGGGAAACAGCAGCCGCCGCTCGGACTGCAAGCAGCTGAGGACGACTCAAGCGAGTGTAACTATAACGGGAGTGAATACGACGGCATCTGTTCCACAACCACAACATTTCTTGTTTTCCCCCTCTCTCCACCGTATCGTCCACAGCGGACTCGTTTTTCCCCGCGGGTTCTCTTTCGCCTCAAGTCACCACTTCCGTGCTGCGCGTAAGTAAAAACATGAGTCGCTGTAATCCATCGTGTCATCAGTTTGTTACAAGCAAAAGCATTACACTCGGAAGTCAACCCAACACATTATTGCACAAAGGAACACAACATGAGTAGCAAAATACGCAAGGAACAAAACATGAGTAGCAAAACATGCAAGGAACAAAACATGTGTAACAAAACATGCTAGTTTTACCGGCACGTAATATACAGTATGCAATGGGCTATAGGAACCCTGTGTACGACCCTGTTTATCTCCCTTCGCGGCAACATCATCAACGGTTATCACCATGGGTGTGTTTGACAACAGGCTCAGGTCGCCTCCCGGGAACATCATCAACTTTCAATGTCGCCTCACAGCCTGGGGCACTGCAGCGGTAGTACTTCCTCAAGAAGGGAGCTTTCCCTTTCGGCGTAATGACCTTGTTTCCGTAGTTGTACCACTTGTAGTCTGGATTACTCTGGCTCGGTGCCGTGCTTGCAGCTGCAGACGTATCAGCTGCGGAGGCATTTGGACCGGAAGCAGCAGCGGTAGGAGTGGCAGATGCTGGCGTGGATGGAGCCGTTGTCGTCCTAGGGATGATTGGGTTGGTAGGACCGGGAGAGAAACTGTATGGGGTGGTTGGGTTGGTAGGACCAGAAGAGAGACTGTATGGGGTGGTTGGGTTGGTATGACCAGGAGAGAGACTGCATGGGGTGGTTGGGTTGGTAGGACCAGGAGAGAGACTGTATGGGGTGGTTGGGTTGGTCAGACCAGGAGAGAGACTGTATGGGGTGGTTGGGTTGGTAGGACCAGGAGAGAGACTGTATGGGGTGGTTGGGTTGGTAGGACTAGGAGAGAGACTGTATGGGGTGGTTGGGTTGGTCAGACCAGGAGAGAGACTGAATGGGGTGGTTGGGTTGGTAGGATCGGGGAAGCGACCATCTCTCTTCATGACCTTCGCGTTCTCATTTCCCCTCTGCCTTATCTCCTCTTTTTGTTGTTTTGAAAGCTTCCGTTTCTCCCCCGCCCTGGAAGCTTCTTCAGGCTGCACCGTTGCGAAAGCCGACTGCTGAGCAGGGGACGAAGCGCCTCCGGTCCATATCATTGCTCGCGGTTGAAGTGTTAAGGTGTGTCGCGTTTCTCCCAGGTGATTGTTGCTTATGTTCCGATTGGAATCCAGAGCGGAAAGAGGGGCGCGGAACCGATAAAGCATTGGTGAGCCACTGATGCTTCCAGACGTGATGTCACACGGCGCCGAATCTCGCTGCATGTTGCCGGTCGACGCAGCCGTCGCGCCGTCGTTGCGACCACTCGCACCCGCCTGCCTTTTGTGCAGGCTTATCTGCTCCACCAGTTCTGCGATGTTCAGCCCCGTACCGCCATCACCAGCACCATTACAGCCTCCAACGGCAGCGCCAGCTCCAGCACCCTGTGTCTTGTGGTGCTGCTCTGCATCGCTAGCATGATCATGAGCAACGGCATTATGAACAGCAACGGCCTCAGCATCGTTAGCATCAGTACCAGCAATACCACCAACGGCAGCGAAAGCTCCAGCACCCTGGCTTCTGTGCTGCTGATCTGCCGTGGCACCGCCTTTTGCACCAGCAGGGACAATAGAAGTAGCATCAGCGTCTGCATCGGCAGCATCAGCACCATAAACACCACCGACGGCAACGCCAACGCCAGAGATCCCTTGCTGCTGCTCTGCCGTCGCGTCGCCTTTTGCAATAGTATCGGCAGGAAGAATAGCACCAGCGCCAGCAATATCACCCACGGCGGTGCCAACACCACCGCCCTGACTTTCGTGCTGCTCTCCCGTAAAGTGGCCTGCCGATGCCGATTCCGATCCCAGGCGCGGAGTCCCCGTTTGCTGAGCAAAATCACCTCCTATCGTGGCGGAATTCGCGGTGTGGTTTGCGCACAGAGGATCAGAAGAACCGCTAGCTTCACCACCTAACATCATCTCGAGCAGTTCGTCGATTGCTTCGCCTTGAGGTGCGCAGGGCGGCGCCGCGTTTCGCGTGGCGACCACGTCTCCAGTATCAGCGTTCCACGGGTCAGCCCAGCAGGATTCCAGCAATGGATAGAAATTCGCAGGATCCAAGGAGCCATTGTCATTGCTCTCGAATGGGATGTGCTGGTCCGACATGGCAGCGATTCGCTTTCAACGAATAGGTTTCAAGCAATGACACGCCAGTGAAATGGGACGCGATGAAGCAATCTCAAGGTGAGTGCGATAGGCGGGATTGACTGGCTCCGAGGAGTTGGCTTCGCGGGATTGACTGGCTTCGGGGGGTTGACTGGCTTGGCGGATTGACTGGCTTCGCGATCCAGAAATGGAAGGCTTCACCATTCAGAGAGGCGATGACGAATTCGGCACGGCTGAGCGATCAGAGGCGGATTAGGAGGAGCTCTTCTCCCTGCAGAACTCGTTTTGCATTTTCGGGAACTGGTTCTCCTAGGTGCGAATGACTGCGGATCGGAATCTTTTACGTGGGCATGCAGATCTCCCTTAGCATTTGCGGGACATGGTTCACCTTGAGAGTGGGTTTAGGGATGGGGGGGTGGGAGTGGGGGTGGGGAGTGGGCGTGGCGGCGTGGCGCACAGGTGGCGCTGACAGTATGACCGCGAATTGAGGGGGCAACGTGGCTTGCTCATGCCTGTCCAACCAATCAAGGCAAGGAATACTACGATCACCCTTTCAAGCCGCCAGAGGCTCAAGCAATCACGAGTGGTCCGACCGAAATATATGGACAGTCACGTGGTCCCCATCTCTTGAGGTTCCCTTTTATACCGCACGACGACTGCTGAGCTGATCAGAAACCCTCGAGGTTTCCTTTTACTGTTCAGTATAAGCATGGGTGGTGGCGGCTACAGCATACTGTAATTGGGAGGAGTGTAGTGACATAGCCATAACCGGACAGGCCTATCCATGCGCTGAAGCATGGTGTGTAACATGAGCGATGGGGACAAGTGGACGGCGGCGCATCTTTCCCAAGGTCGCACATTCTTCCTCCTCACGATCTCTGCGACTCTGTCGTCTACGACAGCGAGGGCTTTCAGTCTAGTTCAGAGTGTGAGCGGAAACTGGTTGCTGTTCGTTTCGTTCATAGCTCCGCTACTCGGGGGGTTCGTGGGGGCGCTAGTCGAGGTCCGTGCGGGCGAGGTGCAGAGGACGGACCTCTCTCGACGGCAAGGTCCATCGCGACACGAGCGGAACCAAGCCAGTGGCGAAAATCCGTAAGATTTGTTCGCAATTTCGTAACAATCGTTCGCGTCGCGGGTTGTTGATCAGCAGCAACATTGCCCCTCAAAGCAAGCAAGCAATGCGTTGACTAAGACGGACAGACGGTCCGAAAACAAATCAAAGGTTGACGTCACGTACTGCTTGACGAACGCATCGAGCGAAGCTTCGTTGGCGCAATATAGGACTTTCCCAATAACATTTTACCGTACAGAACCGTTACATCTGTTGTACAATAACATTTTTCACAAAAGTTGTAGGTATTTGATTTCCACAACAGCAAAAACAGCTCATCTGCTCACTGTCTAAATATAGTCACAAACGGGGATGTACCCACCCCCGCGAAACCCCTCTCGCAACTTCCCCATTGCAACAAGAGCTCCTAGTTTTAATCCCTCCCCCGCAGTTAGTCCAATTACCAAGCTTTATTAGGTTTCAGGCAGCCATGCTGCTGACATGCATAGTATTGATGCACTGTATTTGTTGAAGGTATAAAAAACACTTACATCGGCACCAATTGTGGCCGGTGGCCGGCTGGCTAACACAGTATGGAACGGGTTTCACAGACCCAGTGAACGACCGTGATTTCTCCCCCCTGTGGGCGGTGCATGGTTGTGTGTACCGCTGTACGCAATTCTCAGTTGCTGCCCACCAACAACATCAATAGTTCTCGTTGCTCTACATGCTGCAGAGTATAAACTGCAGCGGTAGTACTTTCTCCGGAAGGGAGCTTCCCCGCTCGGATAGATCGTCTTGTTTCCATTGTTATGCCACCTGTAGTTTGCATCACTCGGGTTCGTGCTTGCAGTTGCAGAGGCATCAGCTGCAGAGGCATCTGAACCGGGCGCAGCAGACTCAGCAGCGGCAGGAGTGGTTGGTGCTGATGGGGATGGAGCGGTTGCGGTGGTGGGAGTGGTTGGGATGGTGGGAGTGTTTGCGGTGGTAGGAGTGGTTGGTGCTGATGCGGATGGAGTGGTTGCAGTGTTAAGAGTGGTTGGGGTGGTTGGGGTGTGAACGGAAGCAGCAGGTCCGATGGGTAAGGTGGCGCTAGCATCGAACGGAGGGTGGCTGTGGCTGTGGCTGTGGCTCCACACCTCTGCCAGGTCGTGGCTTGAATTCCGAGTAGACGCATGCATGATGGTGCCAGGCCGGTGTGGCATGATGGTGGTTGCCATTAACACCGGCCTGGCGCCGCCGCTGCTACCACTTGCACACGCCTGCCTTCTGAGTCGATTTATCCGCTGCAGCACTCGTGCGATGTTCAGCTCCGTGCCGCCAGCACCAGCAGCATCACTACCACCGACGGCAGCACCAGCTCCCGCACCCTCGCTCCCGTGCTGCTGCTCTGCCGTGGTGTCGCATCTCACATCAGCATTGGCATCACAGGTAGCATCCGCGTCAGCATCGTTAGCATCGCCACCAGCAGCATCACCGGTGGCAGCGTGACTCACGTGCTGCTGCTCTGCCGTGGTGTCATCTTCTGCATTAAGAAAGCCATTACAGGTAGCATCAGCGTCAGAATTGTCAGGATCGTCCGCACTCTCAGCATCCGCACCCTTTTGAGGCGCCTCAAAAGCCGCATTCTCAGCATCTGCACCCTCAGTATCACCCACGGCAACACCAATGCCAGCACGCTGCCTCCCGCATTGCTGCTGCTCTGCCGCCGCGCCACCTGCCGATGCCCATTCGATTCCCAGAAGCGGAGCCCACGTCGGCTCAGCAGAATCGTCGCCTATCGCGGCGGGGTTCGCGGGGTAGGTCGTGGGCAGATCCCCAAAAGAAGCGTTGGCGGCTTGAAAGCTCCACGTGGTGGAGGGGGAGAAGAACATCGATTCGCCAGTAGTATGAAATTCGTGCGAGTGGTCCGCCGTATCGTCTGCAGGCCAGAAACCGTAGCTCGCCATGGCGAGTCCGTCAAGCTGAAGAAAAATCCCTTCAGCCTCCATCGTTTCGCCGTGCTGCTGCTCTGCCGTGGCATCGCCTTCTGCATAAACAAAGGCATTATGTGTGGCATCGGCGCCATGAGTACCACCGACGGCAGCGCCAACGCCAGCACCCTGGCTCCCGCGCTGCTGCTCTGCCGTGGTGTCACCTTCTTCACCTTTTTCTTGTGCATTAGCGACATTGTCAGCACCAGCACCGGCAACACCACAGACAACAACGGCAACGCCAGCACTCTGACTTTCGTGCTGCTGCACTGCCGCGACGTCGCCTGCCGATGCCCATTCCAATCCCGGACGCGGAGCCCCCGTCAGCTGAGCAGAATCACCGCCAATCGCGGCGAGATTCGCGGTGTGGGTCGCACTTTGAGGATCAAAGGAACCGCTAGCGGGCAGAATGCCCCACGCGGTGAACAACTCGTCATCAGCGCACAATGCTTGCACGCCGTCCGTCGTGTCGTTTTCTTCGTAGAAACCGTATGGCGCGGGCGGGAGTCCTTCAATGGGAAGACGAATTTCATCAACGTCCATCGCTTCCAACATCTGATTCGCCCTGCGGCTCGGCCGGCGGAGATTCTGGCAGCGCCATGGCGCCGCTGCTTGGAAGTTCTAAGGCCTCTCCAGTGGCTTCGGTGCAGACTTCCCACGACGGGCTGATATTCGCAGGATCCAAGGCCGTCGCTGCTTGAGTTGCTTGAGTCGCTTTCAGAACCACCCTTTTTGCGCTTGCTTTTTTTCTGAAAAAACACGCATGAAGTCAGACAATAGCCATGGAGTAGTGGTGTGAGGAGAGAAACTTAGACTCTAATAGCTCTCAAGAATTGGAAACAGGAACAAGGGCAAAGCATGGATCTGCAGCAGCTTTGCTCACCTTCTTCTTGCTCTTATCTTTGTCCTTGCCTGCACAAACAAATTGACGGAAGCAAGCAACAGAACAGAAGAAGTATAAAACATTAGTGGACCATAGACGTGGAATCCTTGCAAAAGCTTACGTGTTAAAGACATAAACGCACTCTTTTTTAGCTTCCCGCGCTTATCCGCGTGGTTTCGTCCTCGCGACAGCCTCGCTTCTCGCTCGCTGTCCAACTGAGCCCGATACTCCTTCATCCGCTGCTCCTCCAAACCCTCCATTTCCTGCTGCTTCCTCGCCTCTTCCTGCTCGTACAGCGCGCCGAGCCAGAGAATTACAATCATAATCAATCACGGCCTTCACTAAGGAGGTAAATGATTTACAGAAGCCAAGCGTACAGAAGCCTCAAACACAGCAGATAGTTTTACCAGCTACAAGCAGGAATGCTGGTCAACGAGCATTTGTCTATCGATGCGTAGAGCTTGCAGCGTACCTTTCGTTGAGCCTTCCACTCCTCCCACGTGAGCGTGTTGGTCGTCTGCAAGGCTGCCAGGCGTGCAACATGCCATGCTGGAGAAAGGAAGGATCCATCAATCTGCCAATGGCTGAATTAGTAATCCGTCGTGCCGACGTACGAAAAGGAGAAAAACGAGAACCGATAGCACGTAATAAGAGCACTAGGAATTGCAGCACACCAGGTGCAAACATCATTACCATTCCATCATTGCTCTCCTCGTCGCCGCCACCACCGCCACCCCTACGGCTCATCGACTTGGCTCGTTGCGCCGCCTTGTACTGCTGATTCTTCCCATCCTCGCTAACCCAAAAAAAAAATGAAAAGGGATGCTAACCTATGCAAGAAGCTGCTGTCAGATTCACTTTTATAAGATTAACCAGTTACGTAAACGCCGGCTATTCTGCTACATCTTCCAGTAAACCCTAACGACTGCAGCGGTAAGTCACCGTCAACGGCGCGCTGCTAATTACCATTCCTAGTGGCCTGCGCGTGTCTCGCTCAATTAATAATGAGAAGGAAAACAAAAGCAAAAACGCCTGAGCTTGATCGCCCTGTCCCTAGCTGGCTGGCACCACCAGCAGCAGCTCGGCAAGGCAAAACCCGACCGAAGATTCAGGGAGGGGAATTGAGGTTGATTCTAGAAACGATTTATTCCTGTAAGTTCTGCTAACAATATTCAGGTTCGTAACACATACAGCAATTTACCAGCATCCGTCTCATGCATTCATTAGCCCTATATTTAAAACAAATCCACACACAACAGGACGGGAATGGAGACAATTCTTATCAGCATATTTTAATCCTGGAAAAAAATCATGATTGGGTGCTTTTTAGTGTGCCAAAACCTACTCATCAAATTCAAAATAATCTAGGATCTATATTTTTTGCATGCATGCCCACCTCACAGGTCCGAGTAATACAATTATACTATTACATTGATCTTCTTCCATGTGCACTCTATTCTGCGTAGTATATCAATAAGTAGGAATTAGGGAAAAGCATGTACCATAAGCATGTACCATAAGCATGTCCATTAGGAATAAGCATGTACCATAACTCCGTACTGCCTGATTCGCTAGATGGATTATTTGGAAACCCGACACATGCATTTTGCCATGCTTTTGACAAGTGCCCAAGGGTCCCTTATCCTCAACAAATGGACAGCATCAGGTGACTGACAAGGAACCGACGTGGCTGGGAAGTGCATGACGCTGGGCCTTTCTAGACGCCAGGCTTACTTCTGGCGTGTACAGTCGAACTGAGTGTTACGTGTTCACGGCTGGCTCTGACCACAAGCTATCACGCTCAGCAAAATATCTCGACTCCCATTCGTCGGCCGCAAAATTCTGACTGTGCGCCACTAGATTCTCGACTGGACTTGAACTCGTGGTTGTCGTTGAAGAAGGTTGTTGGTTCGAGTCCGGGAAGGCGTGTATGTGACTCCACTTGACATCATGGTTACGTGGCTATCAATGACACAAATGCTATACTTTCCACGTTATCAACCCCAATTGATTGGAAGTTCTGTCGGTGATCCGCGACGTGTGGATCAGCAGGACTCAGTTGCACGCGAAACACGTGTCGACGTGTGGCCCAGTCGACGTGTGGCCCAGGTCAGGTCTTCTCTGTTGGCCCAGGTCAGGTCTTCTCTGTTGGCCCAGGTCAGGTCTTCTGTTGGCCCAGGTCAGGTCTTCTGTTGGCCCAGGTCAGGTCTTCTGTTGGCCCAGGTCAGGTCTTCTGTTGGCCCAGAAATTGCGCTGGCCCAGGTCCTTTTGTTGGGGCACACCATACCAAACCAGACACCATACGGTAACACAACAGACCGTACCAAACCATACAACACCATGAGAAACCACACCATACCAGAACATACCAGAGTTATAGAGTACACTGCAAACAATACCAAACTGCACACAAAACACCAGAGTATACACTAAACCCCAAACCACACACCCACCAACCCACAAATCACCCACCCAACCATACACCCAACCTACCCAGAACCACCCATTCTACCCACACACCACCAACCCAACCCCCCACTCACCCACCCACCCACCACCAGCACCACCACCTTACCTCTCACTCACCCCCCTCTTAGGGCTTCAGCCCCTTTCCTCACACTTGCCCGCCATTGCTTCACCCATTTGCCCTCACACTCACCCCCCCTTTCAACTTCAGACACCTTCCCTCTCACTCACACACGCTTGGGGTTACCACCCCCTTCACTTCCACTCACACACCCAAGGGGTTTTAACCCCATTCTGCTCCCAAGGGGTCACCAACCCTACGGGTCCCCCCCCTCCCCCGTCACTCACCCATCCTTGGGGTTTCAACCCAGCATTGGAATTTCATCCCCGTTCCCTCTTACTCACCCACCCAAGTGGTTCCACCCTCCTTCTCTTACACACACCCAACCCCAAGGCGTTTCAGCCCCACTCACTCAAGGGGAATCAGCCCCCTTCCCCTCCACTCACCCACCCAAGGGGAAACAGCTCCCTCTCATTTTTCTCACCCACCCGAAAGGGTTCAGCCACATTCCCTTCCACCCAACTACCAACGGGGTTTCAACCCATTCCCTCCAAAACACCCATCATCTGGGCGCCCTTTTCCCGCTCACTCACCCACCCAAAGGGTTTCAGCCCTTTTCCCTTCCACTCACCCACTAATGGAGGTGCGCTCACCCACCCGCCCCAGGGGACTCAGCCCCTTTCGTTTCTACCCACCCACCCAGGGGACTCAGCCCCTTTCCCTTGCACCCACCCACCCAGGGGACTCAGCCCCTTTCCCTTGCACCCACCCACCCAGGGGACTCAGCCCCTTTCCCTTGCACCCACCCACCCAGGGGACTCAGCCCCGTTCCCTTGCACCCACCCACCCAGGGGACTCAGCCCCTTTCCCTTGCACCCACCCACCCAGGGGACTCAGCCCCTTTCCCTTGCACCCACCCACCCAGGGGACTCAGCCCCTTTCCCTTCCACTCACCCACCCAAGGGGTTTCAGGCCCCTTTCCCTTCCACTCACCCACCCAAAGGGGTTTCAGGCCCCTTTCCCTTCCACTCACCCACCCAAGGGGTTTCAGGCCCCTTTCCCTTCCGCTCACCCACCCAAAGGGGTTTCAGACCCCTTCCCCTTCCGCTCACCCACCCAAAGGGGTTTCAGGCCCCTTTCCCTTCCGCTCACCCACCCAAAGGGGTTTCAGGCCCCTTTCCCTTCCGCTCACCCACCCAAAGGGGTTTCAGGCCCCTTTCCCTTCTGCTCACCCACCCAAGGGGTTTCAGGGCCCTTTCCCTTCCACTCACCCACCCAAGGGGTTTCAGGGCCCTTTCCCTTCCACTCACCCACCCAAGGGGTTTCAGGCCCCTTTCCCTTCCACTCACCCACCCAAGGGGTTTCAGGCCCCTTTCCCTTCCACTCACCCACCCAAGGGGTTTCAGGCCCCTTTCCCTTCCACTCACCCACCCAAGGGGTTTCAGGCCCCTTTCCCTTCCACTCACCCACCCAAGGGGTTTCAGGCCCCTTTCCCTTCCTCACCCACCCAAGGGGTTTCAGGCCCCTTTCCCTTCCACTCACCCACCCAAGGGGTTTCAGGCCCCTTTCCCTTCCACTCACCCACCCAAGGGGTTTCAGGCCCCTTTCCCTTCCACTCACCCACCCAAGGGGTTTCAGGCCCCTTTCCCTTCCACTCACCCACCCAAGGGGTTTCAGGCCCCTTTCCCTTCCACTCACCCACCCAAGGGGTTTCAGGCCCCTTTCCCTTCCACTCACCCACCCAAGGGGTTTCAGGCCCCTTTCCCTTCCACTCACCCACCCAAGGGGTTTCAGGCCCCTTTCCCTTCCACTCACCCACCCAAGGGGTTTCAGACCCCTTTCCCTTCCACTCACCCACCCAAGGGGTTTCAGGGCCCTTTCCCTTCCACTCACCCACCCAAGGGGTTTCAGGGCCCTTTCCCTTCCACTCACCCACCCAAGGGGTTTCAGGCCCCTTTTCCTTCCGCTCACCCACCCAAAGGGGTTTCAGGCCCCTTCCCCTTCCGCTCACCCACCCAAGGGGTTTCAGGCCCCTTTCCCTTCCACTCACCCACCCAAGGGGTTTCAGGCCCCTTTTCCTTCCGCTCACCCACCCAAAGGGGTTTCAGGCCCCTTTCCCTTCCGCTCACCCACCCAAAGGGGTTTCAGGCCCCTTTCCCTTCTGCTCACCCACCCAAGGGGTTTCAGGGCCCTTTCCCTTCCACTCACCCACCCAAGGGGTTTCAGGGCCCTTTCCCTTCCACTCACCCACCCAAGGGGTTTCAGGCCCCTTTCCCTTCCACTCACCCACCCAAGAGGTTTCAGGGCCCTTTCCCTTCCACTCACCCACCCAAGGGGTTTCAGGCCCCTTTCCCTTCCACTCACCCACCCAAGGGGTTTCAGGCCCCTTTCCCTTCCACTCACCCACCCAAGGGGTTTCAGGCCCCTTTCCCTTCCACTCACCCACCCAAGGGGTTTCAGGCCCCTTTCCCTTCCACTCACCCACCCAAGGGGTTTCAGGCCCCTTTCCCTTCCACTCACCCACCCAAGGGGTTTCAGGCCCCTTTCCCTTCCACTCACCCACCCAAGGGGTTTCAGGCCCCTTTCCCTTCCACTCACCCACCCAAAGGGGTTTCAAGCCCCTTCCCCTTCCGCTAACCCACCCAAGGGGTTTCAGGGCCCTTTCCCTTCCACTCACCCACCCAAGGGGTTTCAGGCCCCTTTCCCTTCCACTCACCCACCCAAGGGGTTTCAGGGCCCTTTCCCTTCCACTCACCCACCCAAGGGGTTTCAGGCCCCTTTTCCTTCCGCTCACCCACCCAAAGGGGTTTCAGGCCCCTTCCCCTTCCGCTCACCCACCCAAGGGGTTTCAGGCCCCTTTCCCTTCCGCTCACCCACCCAAAGGGGTTTCAGGCCCCTTTCCCTTCCGCTTACCCACCCAAAGGGGTTTCAGGCCCCTTTCCCTTCTGCTCACCCACCCAAGGGGTTTCAGGGCCCTTTCCCTTCCACTCACCCACCCAAGGGGTTTCAGGGCCCTTTCCCTTCCACTCACCCACCCAAGGGGTTTCAGGCCCCTTTCCCTTCCACTCACCCACCCAAGGGGTTTCAGGCCCCTTTCCCTTCCACTCACCCACCCAAGGGGTTTCAGGCCCCTTTCCCTTCCACTCACCCACCCAAGGGGTTTCAGGCCCCTTTCCCTTCCACTCACCCACCCAAGGGGTTTCAGGGCCCTTTCCCTTCCACTCACCCACCCAAGGGGTTTCAGGCCCCTTTCCCTTCCACTCACCCACCCAAGGGGTTTCAGGCCCCTTTCCCTTCCACTCACCCACCCAAGGGGTTTCAGGCCCCTTTCCCTTCCACTCACCCACCCAAGGGGTTTCAGGCCCCTTTCCCTTCCACTCACCCACCCAAGGGGTTTCAGGCCCCTTTCCCTTCCACTCACCCACCCAAGGGGTTTCAGGCCCCCTTCCCTTCCACTCACCCACCCAAGGGGTTTCAGGCCCCTTTCCCTTCCACTCACCCACCCAAGGGGTTTCAGACCCCTTTCCCTTCCACTCACCCACCCAAGGGGTTTCAGGCCCCTTTCCCTTCCACTCACCCACCCAAAGGGGTTTCAGGCCCCTTCCCCTTCCGCTAACCCACCCAAGGGGTTTCAGGCCCCTTTCCCTTCCGCTCACCCACCCAAAGGGGTTTCAGGCCCCTTCCCCTTCCGCTCACCCACCCAAAGGGGTTTCAGGCCCCCTTCCCTTCCACTCACCCACCCAAGGGGTTTCAGGGCCCTTTCCCTTCCACTCACCCACCCAAGGGGTTTCAGGCCCCTTTCCCTTCCACTCACCCACCCAAGGGGTTTCAGGGCCCTTTCCCTTCCACTCACCCACCCAAGGGGTTTCAGGCCCCTTTTCCTTCCGCTCACCCACCCAAAGGGGTTTCAGGCCCCTTCCCCTTCCGCTCACCCACCCAAGGGGTTTCAGGCCCCTTTCCCTTCCGCTCACCCACCCAAAGGGGTTTCAGGCCCCTTTCCCTTCCGCTCACCCACCCAAAGGGGTTTCAGGCCCCTTTCCCTTCTGCTCACCCACCCAAGGGGTTTCAGGGCCCTTTCCCTTCCACTCACCCACCCAAGGGGTTTCAGGCCCCTTTCCCTTCCACTCACCCACCCAAGGGGTTTCAGGCCCCTTTCCCTTCCACTCACCCACCCAAGGGGTTTCAGGCCCCTTTCCCTTCCACTCACCCACCCAAGGGGTTTCAGGCCCCTTTCCCTTCCACTCACCCACCCAAGGGGTTTCAGGCCCCTTTCCCTTCCACTCACCCACCCAAGGGGTTTCAGGCCCCTTTCCCTTCCACTCACCCACCCAAGGGGTTTCAGGCCCCTTTCCCTTCCACTCACCCACCCAAGGGGTTTCAGGCCCCTTTCCCTTCCACTCACCCACCCAAGGGGTTTCAGGCCCCTTTCCCTTCCACTAACCCACCCAAAGGGGTTTCAGGCCCCTTCCCCTTCCGCTCACCCACCCACGGGGTTTCAGGCCCCTTTCCCTTCCGCTCACCCACCCAAAGGGGTTTCAGGCCCCTTTCCCTTCCGCTCACCCACCCAAAGGGGTTTCAGGCCCCTTTCCCTTCCACTCACCCACCCAAGGGGTTTCAGGGCCCTATCCCTTCCACTCACCCACCCAAGGGGTTTCAGGGCCCTTTCCCTTCCACTCACCCACCCAAGGGGTTTCAGGCCCCTTTCCCTTCCACTCACCCACCCAAGGGGTTTCAGGCCCCTTTCCCTTCCACTCACCCACCCAAGGGGTTTCAGGCCCCTTTCCCTTCCACTCACCCACCCAAGGGGTTTCAGGCCCCTTTCCCTTCCACTCACCCACCCAAGGGGTTTCAGGCCCCTTTCCCTTCCACTCACCCACCCAAGGGGTTTCAGGCCCCTTTCCCTTCCACTCACCCACCCAAGGGGTTTCAGGCCCCTTTCCCTTCCACTCACCCACCCAAGGGGTTTCAGGCCCCTTTCCCTTCCACTCACCCACCCAAGGGGTTTCAGGCCCCTTTCCCTTCCACTCACCCACCCAAGGGGTTTCAGGCCCCTTTCCCTTCCACTCACCCACCCAAGGGGTTTCAGGCCCCTTTCCCTTCCACTCACCCACCCAAGGGGTTTCAGGCCCCTTTCCCTTCCACTCACCCACCCAAGGGGTTTCAGCCCCCTTCTCCTCCCTCACTCAACCACCCAGCCCATCCCCACCATTACCTGCCAGCAGTAGGAGAAGCAGAGAGCCCACTTTCTTACGGAAACAGCAACCCCTGAGGCTGAGCCTTGTGGGATGAAGTGTGGTAGTGGAAAATCGCTTCCAGCCCAAGACTCAAATCCTACCCCTGACGTAGCTAGAGCTGACGCGAACCAGAGCCGCCGGCCGTTCGGCTCTGACGGTGCCCATTAAGCCTTAACGTCAGGTTAGTTACTTGAGCACCGAGTGCCGTGCCGCATAGATTCCACCCACCACACCCCAACTCACAAGGTACAACCCCAGAGGATGCTGCCCCTAAGGCAGTGAACTCCCCACGTGCTCCCATGCTCCCAACCCTCCCTCCCCACACTTCACCCCCATGCGTACTTACCTGTACCTACCTCAGCCGAGCAGAGCGCCATGATTCTGAGGCCGGGAGGAGGAGGCACACCAAGGAGGAGGAGGCGACACCAGGGGAGAGGAGTCAAAACCAAGGAGGAGGAGGCGACACCAGGGGAGAGGAGTCAAAACCAAGGAGGAGGAGGCGACACCAGGGGAGAGGAGTCAAAACCAAGGAGGAGGAGGCGACACCAGGGGAGAGGAGTCAAAACCAAGGAGGAGGAGGCGACACCAGGGGAGAGGAGTCAAAACCAAGGAGGAGGAGGCGACACCAGGGGAGAGGAGTCAAAACCAAGGAGGAGGAGGCGACACCAGGGGAGAGGAGTCAAAACCAAGGAGGAGGAGGCGACACCAGGGGAGAGGAGTCAAAACCAAGGAGGAGGAGGCGACACGAGGGGAGAGGAGTCAAAACCAAGGAGGAGGAGGCGACACCAGGGGAGAGGAGTCAAAACCAAGGAGGAGGAGGCGACACCAGGGGAGAGGAGTCAAAACCAAGGAGGAGGAGGCGACACCAGGGGAGAGGAGTCAAAACCAAGGAGGAGGAGGCGACACGAGGGGAGAGGAGTCAAAACCAAGGAGGAGGAGGCGACACCGGGGGAGAGGAGTCAAAACCAAGGTGGAGGAGGCGACACCAGGGGAGAGGAGTCAAAACCAAGGAGGAGGAGGCGACACCAGGGGAGTGGAGTCAAAACCAAGGAGGAGGAGGCGACACCAGGGGAGAGGAGTCAAAACCAAGGAGGAGGAGGCAACACCAGGGGAGAGGAGTCAAAACCAAGGAGGAGGAGGCGACACCAGGGGAGAGGAGTCAAAACCAAGGAGGAGGAGGCGACACCAGGGGAGAGGAGTCAAAACCAAGGAGGAGGAGGCGACACCAGGGGAGAAGAGTCAAAACCAAGGAGGAGGAGGCGACACCAGGGGAGAGGAGTCAAAACCAAGGAGGAGGAGGGGACACCAGGGGAGAGGAGTCAAAACCAAGGAGGAGGAGGTGACACCAGGGGAGAGGAGTCAAAACCAAGGAGGAGGAGGCGACACCAGGGGAGAGGAGTCAAAACCAAGGAGGAGGAGGCAACACCAGGGGAGAGGAGTCAAAACCAAGGAGGACGAGGCGACACCAGGGGAGAGGAATCAAAACCAAGGAGGAGGAGGCGACACCAGGGGAGAGGAGTCAAAACCAAGGAGGAGGAGGCGACACCAAGGGAGAGGAGTCAAAACCAAGGAGAAGGAGGCGACACGAGGAGAGAGGAGTCAAAACCAAGGAGGAGGAGGCGACACCAGGGGAGAGGAGTCAAAACCAAGGAGGAGGAGGCGACACCAGGGGAGAGGCGTCAAAACCAAGGAGGAGGAGGCGACACAGGGGAGAGGAGTCAAAACCAAGGAGGAGGAGGCGACAGCAGGAGAGAGGAGTCAAAACCAAGGAGGAGGAGGCGACACCAGGGGAGAGGAGTCAAAACCAAGGAGGAGGAGGCAACACCAGGGGAGAGGAGTCAAAACCAAGGAGGAGGAGGCGACACCAGGGGAGAGGAGTCAAAACCAAGGAGGAGGAGGCGACACCAGGGGAGAGGAGTCAAAACCAAGGAGGAGGAGGCGACACCGGGGGAGAGGAGTCAAAACCAAGGTGGAGGAGGCGACACCAGGGGAGAGGAGTCAAAACCAAGGAGGAGGAGGCGACACCAGGGGAGAGGAGTCAAAACCAAGGAGGAGGAGGCGACACCAGGGGAGAGGAGTCAAAACCAAGGAGGAGGAGGCAACACCAGGGGAGAGGAGTCAAAACCAAGGAGGAGGAGGCGACACCAGGGGAGAGGAGTCAAAACCAAGGAGGAGGAGGCGACACCAGGGGAGAGGAGTCAAAACCAAGGAGGAGGAGGCGACACCAGGGGAGAAGAGTCAAAACCAAGGAGGAGGAGGCGACACCAGGGGAGAGGAGTCAAAACCAAGGAGGAGGAGGCGACACGAGGGGAGAGGAGTCAAAACCAAGGAGGAGGAGGCGACACCGGGGGAGAGGAGTCAAAACCAAGGTGGAGGAGGCGACACCAGGGGAGAGGAGTCAAAACCAAGGAGGAAGAGGCGACACCAGGGGAGAGGAGTCAAAACCAAGGAGGAGGAGGCGACACCAGGGGAGAGGAGTCAAAACCAAGCAGGAGGAGGCAACACCAGGGGAGAGGAGTCAAAACCAAGGAGGAGGAGGCGACACCAGGGGAGAGGAGTCAAAACCAAGGAGGAGGAGGCGACACCAGGGGAGAGGAGTCAAAACCAAGGAGGAGGAGGCGACACCAGGGGAGAAGAGTCAAAACCACGGAGGAGGAGGCGACACCAGGGGAGAGGAGTCAAAACCAAGGAGGAGGAGGGGACACCAGGGGAGAGGAGTCAAAACCAAGGAGGAGGAGGCGACACCAGGGGAGAGGAGTCAAAACCAAGGAGGAGGAGGCGACACCAGGGGAGAGAAGTCAAAACCAAGGAGGAGGAGGCAACACCAGGGGAGAGGAGTCAAAACCAAGGAGGAGGAGGCGACACCAGGGGAGAGGAGTCAAAACCAAGGAGGAGGAGGCGACAACAGGGGAGAGGAGTCAAAACCAAGGAGGAGGAGGCGACACCAGGGGAGAGGAGTCAAAACCAAGGAGAAGGAGGCGACACCAGGGGAGAGGAGTCAAAACCAAGGAGGAGGAGGCGACACCAGGGGAGAGGAGTCAAAAACAAGGAGGAGGAGGCGACAGCAGGGGAGAGGAGTCAAAACCAAGGAGGAGGAGGCGACACCAGGGGAGAGGAGTCAAAACCAAGGAGGAGGAGGCGACACCAGGGGAGAGGAGTCAAAACCAAGGAGGAGGAGGCGACACCAGGGGAGAGGAGTCAAAACCAAGGAGAAGGAGGCGACACGAGGAGAGAGGAGTCAAAACCAAGGAGGAGGAGGCGACACCAGGGGAGAGGAGTCAAAACCAAGGAGGAGGAGGCGACACCAGGGGAGAGGCGTCAAAACCAAGGAGGAGGAGGCGACACAGGGGAGAGGAGTCAAAACCAAGGAGGAGGAGGCGACAGCAGGAGAGAGGAGTCAAAACCAAGGAGGAGGAGGCGACACCAGGGGAGAGGAGTCAAAACCAAGGAGGAGGAGGCGACAGCAGGGGAGAGGAGTCAAAACCAAGGAGGAGGAGGCAACACCAGGGGAGAGGAGTCAAAACCAAGGAGGAGGAGGCGACACCAGGGGAGAGGAGTCAAAACCAAGGAGGAGGAGGCGACACCAGGAGAGAGGAGTCAAAACCAAGGAGGAGGAGGCGACACCAGGGGAGAGGAGTCAAAACCAAGGAGGAGGAGGCGACACGAGGGGAGAGGAGTCAAAACCAAGGAGGAGGAGGCGACACCAGGGGAGAGGGGTCAAAACCAAGGAGGAGGAGGCGACACCAGGGGAGAGGAGTCAAAACCAAGGAGGAGGAGGCGACACCAGGGGAGAGGAGTCAAAACCAAGGAGGAGGAGGCGACACGAGGGGAGAGGAGTCAAAACCAAGGAGGAGGAGGCGACACCAGGGGAGAGGAGTCAAAACCAAGGAGGAGGAGGCGACACCAGGGGAGAGGAGTCAAAACCAAGGAGGAGGAGGCGACACCAAGGGAGAGGAGTCAAAACCAAGGAGGAGGCGACACCAGGGGAGAGGAGTCAAAACCAAGGAGGAGGAGGCGACACCAGGGGAGAGGAGTCAAAACCAAGGAGGAGGAGGCGACATCAGGGGAGAGGAGTCAAAACCAAGGAGGAGGAGGCGACACCAGGGGAGAGGAGTCAAAACCAAGGAGGAGGAGGCGACACCAGGGGAGAGGAGTCAAAACCAAGGAGGAGGAGGCGACACCAGGGGAGAGGAGTCAAAACCAAGGAGGAGGAGGCGACACCAGGGGAGAGGAGTCAAAACCAAGGAGGAGGAGGCGACACCAGGGGAGAGGAGTCAAAACCAAGGAGGAGGAGGCGACACCAGGGGAGAGGAGTCAAAACCAAGGAGGAGGAGGCGACACCAGGGGAGAGGAGTCAAAACCAAGGAGGAGGAGGCAACACCAGGGGAGAGGAGTCAAAACCAAGGAGGAGGAGGCGACACCAGGGGAGAGGAGTCAAAACCAAGGAGGAGGAGGCGACACCAGGGGAGAGGAGTCAAAACCAAGGAGGAGGAGGCGACATCAGGGGAGAGGAGTCAAAACCAAGGAGGAGGAGGCGACACCAGGGGAGAGGAGTCAAAACCAAGGAGGAGGAGGCGACACCAGGGGAGAGGAGTCAAAACCAAGGAGGAGGAGGCGACACCAGGGGAGAGGAGTCAAAACCAAGGAGGAGGAGGCGACACCAGGGGAGAGGAGTCAAAACCAAGGAGGAGGAGGCGACACCAGGGGAGAGGAGTCAAAACCAAGGAGGAGGAGGCGACACCAGGGGAGAGGAGTCAAAACCAAGGAGGAGGAGGCGACACCAGGGGAGAGGAGTCAAAACCAAGGAGGAGGAGGCGACACCAGGGGAGAGGAGGTCAAAACCAAGGAGGAGGAGGCGACACCAGGGGAGAGGAGTCAAAACCAAGGAGGAGGAGGCGACACCAGGGGAGAGGAGTCAAAACCAAGGAGGAGGAGGCAACACCAGGGGAGAGGAGTCAAAACCAAGGAGGAGGAGGCGACACCAGGGGAGAGGAGTCAAAACCAAGGAGGAGGAGGCGACACCAGGGGAGAGGAGTCAAAACCAAGGAGGAGGAGGCGACACCAGGGGAGAAGAGTCAAAACCACGGAGGAGGAGGCGACACCAGGGGAGAGGAGTCAAAACCAAGGAGGAGGAGGGGACACCAGGGGAGAGGAGTCAAAACCAAGGAGGAGGAGGCGACACCAGGGGAGAGGAGTCAAAACCAAGGAGGAGGAGGCGACACCAGGGGAGAGGAGTCAAAACCAAGGAGGAGGAGGCAACACCAGGGGAGAGGAGTCAAAACCAAGGAGGAGGAGGCGACACCAGGGGAGAGGAGTCAAAACCAAGGAGGAGGAGGCGACAACAGGGGAGAGGAGTCAAAACCAAGGAGGAGGAGGCGACACCAGGGGAGAGGAGTCAAAACCAAGGAGAAGGAGGCGACACCAGGGGAGAGGAGTCAAAACCAAGGAGGAGGAGGCGACACCAGGGGAGAGGAGTCAAAAACAAGGAGGAGGAGGCGACAGCAGGGGAGAGGAGTCAAAACCAAGGAGGAGGAGGCGACACCAGGGGAGAGGAGTCAAAACCAAGGAGGAGGAGGCGACACCAGGGGAGAGGAGTCAAAACCAAGGAGGAGGAGGCGACACCAGGGGAGAGGAGTCAAAACCAAGGAGAAGGAGGCGACACGAGGAGAGAGGAGTCAAAACCAAGGAGGAGGAGGCGACACCAGGGGAGAGGAGTCAAAACCAAGGAGGAGGAGGCGACACCAGGGGAGAGGCGTCAAAACCAAGGAGGAGGAGGCGACACAGGGGAGAGGAGTCAAAACCAAGGAGGAGGAGGCGACAGCAGGAGAGAGGAGTCAAAACCAAGGAGGAGGAGGCGACACCAGGGGAGAGGAGTCAAAACCAAGGAGGAGGAGGCGACAGCAGGGGAGAGGAGTCAAAACCAAGGAGGAGGAGGCAACACCAGGGGAGAGGAGTCAAAACCAAGGAGGAGGAGGCGACACCAGGGGAGAGGAGTCAAAACCAAGGAGGAGGAGGCGACACCAGGAGAGAGGAGTCAAAACCAAGGAGGAGGAGGCGACACCAGGGGAGAGGAGTCAAAACCAAGGAGGAGGAGGCGACACGAGGGGAGAGGAGTCAAAACCAAGGAGGAGGAGGCGACACCAGGGGAGAGGGGTCAAAACCAAGGAGGAGGAGGCGACACCAGGGGAGAGGAGTCAAAACCAAGGAGGAGGAGGCGACACCAGGGGAGAGGAGTCAAAACCAAGGAGGAGGAGGCGACACGAGGGGAGAGGAGTCAAAACCAAGGAGGAGGAGGCGACACCAGGGGAGAGGAGTCAAAACCAAGGAGGAGGAGGCGACACCAGGGGAGAGGAGTCAAAACCAAGGAGGAGGAGGCGACACCAAGGGAGAGGAGTCAAAACCAAGGAGGAGGCGACACCAGGGGAGAGGAGTCAAAACCAAGGAGGAGGAGGCGACACCAGGGGAGAGGAGTCAAAACCAAGGAGGAGGAGGCGACATCAGGGGAGAGGAGTCAAAACCAAGGAGGAGGAGGCGACACCAGGGGAGAGGAGTCAAAACCAAGGAGGAGGAGGCGACACCAGGGGAGAGGAGTCAAAACCAAGGAGGAGGAGGCGACACCAGGGGAGAGGAGTCAAAACCAAGGAGGAGGAGGCGACACCAGGGGAGAGGAGTCAAAACCAAGGAGGAGGAGGCGACACCAGGGGAGAGGAGTCAAAACCAAGGAGGAGGAGGCGACACCAGGGGAGAGGAGTCAAAACCAAGGAGGAGGAGGCGACACCAGGGGAGAGGAGTCAAAACCAAGGAGGAGGAGGCAACACCAGGGGAGAGGAGTCAAAACCAAGGAGGAGGAGGCGACACCAGGGGAGAGGAGTCAAAACCAAGGAGGAGGAGGCGACACCAGGGGAGAGGAGTCAAAACCAAGGAGGACGAGGCGACACCAGGGGAGAGGAATCAAAACCAAGGAGGAGGAGGCGACACCAGGGGAGAGGAGTCAAAACCAAGGAGGAGGAGACAACACCAAGGGGTATCCAGCAGTAGGGGTAGGGGGGTCGGTGGCTAGTGAAGCGGGCCCCAAGCAGGGGCGAGATTTCAGAGGGGAAAGCATGAAAAACACATGAGATACAAAGGAATTCACAAAAGGCAGCACCTAGGAGGAGGAATACTTAGCTGGAAAGTTGAAGCCTTGTTGCTGCCCCTTTTCCTCGCCTACTGCCCTCCCTCCTACTGCCCCTCCCTCCGCCTGCCCCCCTGCTGCCCTCCTGCTGCCCCCTTGAAGCCTTGCTACAGTTGAGGGGGAAGGGAGAGGGTGGGAGGAAGGAAGCAAGGGACAGCAGTGAGAGTGGGGAGTAGAGCAAGCAGAAACGTGAAGGCAAGGAGGAAGCAAGAAAGAAAAATGCTCATAGGGAGAAGACAAAGCAGCAGCATGAGTGAAAGAAAGAGCAGATGCGAAACCATCTCTGGCAGGGAGGGAAAATGAGGCTCACCTTGTTTGGCCGACCCAATCCCGATACTCTCCCATCCCATCCAAGCCGAGTGGAGTGCTGCCCTCCCCCCCTCCCACCACTGCCACCTGCACGGCCACAAGGGGCCGTCCATGAGGCTTGGCGCTGCTGCCCTGCTGCCCGCCCTCCTGCTACCCTCCTCAGCGCTCCGCTCGCCTGCTGCTCGCCTGCTGCTCGCCTGCTGCTCGCCTGCTGCTCGCCTGCTGCTCGCCTGCTTCTCGCCTGCTGCTCGCCTGCTTCTCGCCTGAAGCACAGCCAACCTGAGTGGGCTGTATGGCATTAGGGGGACCTGAACCTAAGGGGCTTACCTGCAGTAGGGGTGAGGGGGAGGGAGGTCTGTGGCTTGTGAAGCGGCCTCCAACCAGTGGCGAGATTTCCAGGGAGAAAGCATAGACGCACATGGGAGAGGAAGTGAGCAGGGAAGAGAAGGCACTTAGCTGGCAGTTGAAGAACCACCGAGAGGTGCTGCTGCTGCCGCATGTGCTGCTACCCCCACGCCAACGGGACGCACAGCCGTGCGACCATTTCGGCATGCGACGAAGCGCGGACGACGATTTCGCCGTGACGACGCGCGCGATTCCTTAGTGCGACAACGCGCGGACGACCATTTCGCCATGCGATGCCGCGCGAACAGCGATTTCGCAGTGCGACGACGCGCGAACGACGATTTCGCCGTGTGACGACGCGCGAACGATGATCTCTCCGTTTGAGGACGCGCGGACGACGATTTCGCCGTGCGACGACGCGCGAACGATGATCTCTCCGTTTGAGGACGCGCGGACGACCATTTCGCCGTGCGACGACGCGCGGACGACGATCTCTCCGTGCGACGACGCGCGGACGACGATTTCTCCGTGCGACGACGCGCGGACGACCATCTCTCCGTGCGACGACGCGCGGACGACGATTTTGCCGTGCGACAACGCGCGGACGACGATTTTGCCGTGCGACAACGCGCGGACGACGATTTCTCCGTGCGACGACGCGCGGACAACCATCTCTCCGTGCGACGACGCGCGGACGGCGATTTCGCCGTGCGACGACGAGCGAACGACGATCTCTCCGTGCGACGACGCGCGGACGACGATTTCACCGTCCGATTTCGACGCACGCTACACCGTCAGACGCATCCCTGAAAGTGGACAGCGCAGCAATAACAGGGAGTGACGGCTTCGGATGTGAAGATAAAGAAGCTCAGGCCGCGGTGCAACGAATGCAACTAAGCGACACGCAGTAAAGAAAGTGTGACGAGTCGTAGGGATGCGAGAAACGATCATGGTAAGCCAGCGGAGCAGCAGGAATGGCGTGCGACCGCTAACCGTGAACCTGACAGAACGAAAATAATATGAAACCTCGCAGGCGAAGAGATATCAGCGCATTGAAAGACTAACCTTGTCGGACTAACTTTCCGGAAAACATTGCTTCATCGCCTTCTCGACAGCACGAAGAAAACTCATCGCCGCCGGGAACGCTACCGTGGAAAACGTGGTCAGCGAGCGATCACTAGAGAAGCCATCGACAGGGAGAATAAATCGCCGTGAGGGAGAGAAAACCGCCGCGAGGAAGCTAAAACTCGTCGCCAGAGAGACGAATCTGACAGCAGCAAGATGAGAACGCCGTCGTCATGAACGGCCGCAACGCAAGTCAGAACTACATGTCGTCGTAACCAAGTCGAGAGGTAAGGCGAGACGAGACCGATGTTTGGGCAAGCTAGTAGTTGGAGAAGTTGTGGAAGCAGGGATGTGGAGTGGGAAGAATGGGAGCGGAAAGCATTGGCAAATTGGTGTGCGTGTGGAGCGGAACGAGTTGCTTGCGTCTGGTGGGTTGCGAGGGGACTCTCCTTAGCTGCAATCGACATGCTCACTGACGACGTTGAGTGGGGTTGAGATTGTTTCCGAATGGGTTTTGCTATGTTCTCTGCCTGGTGCCTCCCAGTTTCCACAGGGCCGCTGCAGGAAGAGTTCAGCACAGCCCAGAGTTATCCCAACCAATCCCGAGGTGGGCCAAGGGCGGTGGAGGAAGCACCGCCCACAAGATTCGTGCCCGCGCTTTTCCGCGAGCGCGCGTGATAATTTATTAACGGCCCGGTGACGAAATGCGATGTTATGCGAAACAGTACTGACGACATACTGGTCAGTTCGCGCAGGCTTGTGCTGGGAGACAGATATTTGCGACGCTCGTGAGAGTCGCCGCTCACGTCCAAGTTAACGGTTTCGGCCGGGTTTCCGCGGGCTTCTGGATGCGCTCCCCACAAAAGGCTGACACACCACTGAAGGTGCGCGAATTCGAGGGCTGCTGCCCCAACGACATGTCTGCGGGTGGCGCAATTCGGGGAAACTGTAGAGGCGTATGATACTTTTGATTCGACATGTGGAATGAAAATAAAAATCCTACAATACAAACCCATGTGTCTTATTGCCTAAAACAATTACACATGTAACTTGAAGGGTACTTCTCAGATAGAGATATGGAAACCATATACACCAGGAGATATGAAACAGATAATGAAACAAAATATTATAGAAAACAGAGAGACAATAACATAGAAATATGTTGGAAGCATTTAGTGTTTATATGCAACGAAATCCAAAGCAGGAGTTCTCTGCGGTGTAGCCAATTTGGATCAAACACGTGACCATGATCTTTTACGGGTAGTTTACTCTACAAATCAAGGCATAAGTAAAATTCAGCTGTAAACAAGAAACAGATTGTCCAGGAACAGAAGAAAAAACTACCCAGTTCACACAGCAGGAGCCCAAGCAGAAGGGCAGGACCTCTCTTGCCCAGGTCTTCTATTGGCTCAGGTCGTCTGTTGGCTCAGGTCTTCTGTTGGCCCAGGTCTTCTGTTGGCCCAGGTCTTCTGTTGGCTCAGGTCTTCTGTTGGTCCAGGTCTTCTGTTGGCCCAGGTCTTCTGTTGACCCAGGTCTTCTGTTGACCCAGGTCTTCTGTTGACCCAGGTCTTCTGTTGACCCAGGTCTTCTGTTGACCCAGGTCTTCTGTTGACCCAGGTCTTCTGTTGACCCAGGTCTTCTGTTGACCTAGATCTTCTGTTGGCCCAGGTCTTCTGTTGACCCAGGTCTTCTGTTGACCCAGGTCTTATTATTGGGGCACCACATCATACCAAACCAAACACCATAACACACCACATCGTACCAAACCACACCACACCACGCCATACCATATCACGCTGGAATCACACCAAACACCATAATATACACCAGACCAGACCATACAACACCAGACCATACAACACCAGACCATACAGCACACAACACCATTAGCCAGCAAACACCATTACCAAACACAACCAACCCCCAACCCCAAACCACCCATCCAACCAACCCACCGCAAACCACCCACCGAACATACACCCAACCTACCCAGAACTACCCATCCAACCAACCCACCGCAAACCACCCACCCAACCATACACCCAACCTACCCAGAACTACCCATCCAACCAACCCACCGCAAACCACCCTCCCAACCATACACCCAACCTACCCAGAACTACCCATCCAACCAACCCACCGCAAACCACCCACCCAACCATACACCCAACCTACCCAGAACTACCCATCCAACCAACCCACCGCAAACCACCCTCCCAACCATACACCCAACCTACCCAGAACTACCCATCCAACCAACCCACCGCAAACCACCCACCGAACATACACCCAACCTACCCAGAACTACCCATCCAACCAACCCACCGCAAACCACCCACCCAACCATACACCCAACCTACCCAGAACTACCCATCCAACCAACCCACCGCAAACCACCCACCCAACCATACACCCAACCTACCCAGAACTACCCATCCAACCAACCCACCGCAAACCACCCACCCAACCATACACCCAACCTACCCAGAACTACCCATCCAACCAACCCACCGCAAACCACCCACCCAACCATACACCCAACCTACCCAGAACTACCCATCCAACCAACCCACCGCAAACCACCCACCCAACCATACACCCAACCTACCCAGAACTACCCATCCAACCAACCCACCGCAAACCACCCACCCAACCATACACCCAACCTACCCAGAACTACCCATCCAACCAACCCACCGCAAACCACCCACCCAACCATACACCCAACCTACCCAGAACTACCCATCCAACCAACCCACCGCAAACCACCCACCCAACCATACACCCAACCTACCCAGAACTACCCATCCAACCAACCCACCGCAAACCACCCACCCAACCATACACCCAACCTACCCAGAACTACCCATCCAACCAACCCACCGCAAACCACCCACCCAACCATACACCCAACCTACCCAGAACTACCCATCCAACCAACCCACCGCAAACCACCCTCCCAACCATACACCCAACCTACCCAGAACTACCCATCCAACCAACCCACCGCAAACCACCCACCCAACCATACACCCAACCTACCCAGAACTACCCATCCAACCAACCCACCGCAAACCACCCACCCAACCATACACCCAACCTACCCAGAACTACCCAACCTACCCACACACCAGCAACCCAACCCCCCACTCACCCACCCACCCACCACCACAACCTTACCTCTCTCACTCACCCGCCCTTGGAGTTTCAGCCCCTTAACCTCACACTCAATTACCCTTTCAACTTCAGACACCTTTCCTCTCACTCACCCTCTTGGGATTTCCACCCCCTTCCCTTCCACTCACACGCCGAAGGGGTTTCAACCCCATTCTCCTCACGTTACCCATCCTCACGATCCGCCCCCTTCACTGCCACTCACCCACCCTTGGGGTTTCAACCCCCTCCTCTCCCTCTCACCACCCTTGTACTTTCAATCAGCCCCCTTTCATCTCACCCACCCACCCTTAGGGTTTCAACTCCCATGAAGCTCACTCACCAACCGTTGGGGTTTCAACCCCATTCCCTCTTACCCACCAGAAGGGTTGAAAGTCCCCAATTGTCTCACTCACGCACCCAAGGGGTTTCAGCCCCCTTCTATTCCACCCACACACACCAGGGGTTTTAGCCCCACTTTTCAGCCCCACTCACCCTAGGGTTTTCACCCCCTTCCTTCCACACACCCACCCAAGGGCATTCAGGCCCCTTCCCCTCAACCCACACACAACAGGGGGTTTCAGCCCCACTCACCAAAGGGTTTTCAGCCCCTTTCCCTTGCACCCACCCACCCAGGGGACTCAGCCCTTTTCCCTTGCACCCACCCACCCAGGGGACTCAGCCCCTTTCCCTTGCACCCACCCACCCAGGGAACTCAGCCCCTTTCCCTTGCACCCGCCCACCCAAGGGGACTCAGCCCCTTTCCCTTGCACCCGCCCACCCAAGGGGACTCAGCCCCTTTCCCTTGCACCCGCCCACCCAGGGGACACAGCCCCTTTCCCTTGCACCCACCCACCCAGGGGACTCAGCCCCTTTCCCTTGCACCCACCCACCCAGGGGACTCAGCCCCTTTCCCTTGCACCCACCCACCCAGGGGACTCAGCCCCTTTCCCTTCCACTCACCCACCCAAGGGGTTTCAGGCCCCTTTCCCTTCCACTCACCCACCCAAAGGGGTTTCAGGCCCCTTACCCTTCCACTCACCCACCCAAGGGGTTTCAGGCCCCTTTCCCTTCCACTCACCCACCCAAGGGGTTTCAGGCCCCTTTCCCTTCCACTCACCCACCCAAGGGGTTTCAGGCCCCTTTCCCTTCCACTCACCCACCCAAGGGGTTTCAGGCCCCTTTCCCTTCCACTCACCCACCCAAGGAATTTCAGGCCCCTTTCCCTTCCACTCACCCACCCAAGGGGTTTCAGGCCCCTTCCCTTCCACTCACCCACCCAAGGGGTTTCAGGCCCCTTTCCCTTCCACTCACCCACCCAAGGGGTTTCAGGCCCCTTTCCCTTCCACTCACCCACCCAAGGGGTTTCAGGCCCCTTTCCCTTCCACTCACCCACCCAAGGGGTTTCAGGCCCCTTTCCCTTCCACTCACCCACCCAAGGGGTTTCAGGCCCCTTTCCCTTCCACTCACCCACCCAAAGGGTTTCAGGCCCCTTTCCCTTCCACTCACCCACCCAAGGGGTTTCAGGCCCCTTTCTCTTCCACTCACCCACCCAAAGGGGTTTCAGGCCCCTTTCCCTTCCACTCACCCACCCAAGGGGTTTCAGGCCCCTTTCCCTTCCACTCACCCACCCAAGGGGTTTCAGGCCCCTTTCCCTTCCACTCACCCACCCAAGGGGTTTCAGGCCCCTTTCCCTTCCACTCACCCACCCAAGGGGTTTCAGGCCCCTTTCCCTTCCACTCACCCACCCAAGGGGTTTCAGGCCCCTTTCCCTTCCACTCACCCACCCAAGGGGTTTCAGGGCCCTTTCCCTTCCACTCACCCACCCAAGGGGCAAAATGGCAAGAACAAGGGCCTAGCGTGTGCAAAATTTCAAGAACAAGGGCCTAGCGTGTGTAAAAATGCAAGAACAAGGGCCTAGCGTGTGCAAAATTGCAAGAACAAGGGCCTAGCATGTGCAAAATTGCAAGAACAAGGGCCTAGCGAGTGCAAAATTGCAAGAACAAGGGCCTAGCGTGTGCAAAATTGCAAGAACAAGGGCCTAGCGTGTACATTCATGGTATCGGCGATGGCATACGCCTCGGTCTCAAACCCCACGCTCTCGCGCTTGTCGTTCTGCGTGCCGGAGGAGTTGATGTAGAAGTAGATGGGTTTGGATGGGTTGTCGTAGTCCAGCCACAGCAGCTCCGCCACAATCAGCTCCGTCACTGCAGGGACGATCTGCAAGGGGGGTGGAGAAGGGTGGAGAAGGGTGGAGAAAGGTATGGAGGATGTTGAAGGAGTGTGGATGGACTTGGAGGGGTTGTCACAGTCCAGACATAGGCTCCGCCACTATAAGCTCTGTGAAGGCCGGAACAATCTGGAGATGGGGGGGGAAGAAGGGCCCGCAAACACCGCACGTTGGAGGAACAAATGGAGAATGTTGATGGGGTGGTGCAAAGACGGCACGTGGATGGGTTTGGATGGGTTGGTCGTGGTCCATCCATCCATCCATCCATCCAACCACCCATCCACCCACCCACCCACCCACCCACCCACCCGCCCACCCGTCCAACCATCCATCCACCCATCCATCCACCAACCCGTCCACCATACCCGTCCACCCATCTACTCACGGGCATGCCCAGGTAGCAGATGCGCGCGTCCAGCAGCAGCGACGGCAGGTCGGGCGGCGCGGTCTTGGGGCGGCCGGCGCCGCCCAGCCCGCGGTACATGCTGACGCTCATGCTCAGCCGCGCCGCGGAGTTCTCTAGGCCCGGCATCGACCACATGCCCGTGCCGTTGCGGTAGTGCGCCGCGGACGAGATGCTCGCCTGGCGGAGGATGGGCGGAAAGGGATGGGGAAAAGGGGGGGAAGGTGGGGAGAGAATGAGAGGGGCGAAAGAGACTGGAGGGGGCGGGGGGGCGATGTGACCAAGCATACATACTCACTCACTCACACACACACACACACCTCGGTAACGGATTGCGATATCCGCGATACAGGGCTGTCCTCCGTCATGAGCATGCTCATCTGCGTCGAGTTCAACCCGTACAGCGACGCCGGCACGTTGCGGAAGTTCTCCATCACTGCCGTTCGCGCAAGAAGCAAGGAGCGGAGCGAAGAGAGGAGAGGAAAGCGGAGGCAAAGAGAGGAGTGAAGAGCGAAGCAAGATTAGAACAAACGAATAGAATGGGACGATGGACAGACGCAACTCATGAGTCAACTTCTGAGGCGGTTCAAGACCACCGCCGTTGAAGCAGAGTTACGGAGAAAGACAAGACACACCGGAGTGCGCCGACGTGAGTTTAAAGTTTGAAGTGGGGAACGAAGTAAGGGGAATCCGTTTGTAAGCTGCCGCACGATAAAGTCCACAGACACTTCTAAAATGATCTAACGATCGCTGCGACGAGCTATCCTGAAGCCACGAGCTGTTCTGGCGCAACGTGGCATCAGATTCAGCCGTGTAACACCCCCCTTTTCGAAGATTCTCCCGGAGGAGAGTCGAACACTACATACTAGTAGCTCGTGAAGGTGAAAGGTACACAGAACCAGCTGCTCTAGCACCATAGGTTCCTCAACCCGCCCGTAGGTCACTTCCTCTTTCGCATCCAGCCGAATTCTCTTTGGAAATACGGATCTATTTTCTGATGTGAAGTTGCAATCGTCCCCGTTACAAGAACGTCCAGTTTTGTATTGACCTAGCACAGAAGCACCTACATCCTTCCTTCAAGTGCCTCTCCTGAAACTGCTTCGGGATGTCCCTCATCGCAGCGCGTGCGACACCTCTCGCGACACGCTCGCGAAAAGGTAATACCCACAGGATGGATTGGTGGGACGGGGGAAGGGGAATGGTTAGGGCAATGCTGGGATGGCGGAACGGAAACCCGCGGAAAGTGTGTCGGGGGAAACTGGGATGGGGGGCGAAACGACGTGTGCAAAGCAAGGTGGGAGAGCAAAGATCGATGGCTGAGAGTGTTTCTATTCCCGAGAACCACGAGATAACTGCCACGTCGCCGTTTCTTCTTTGATACATCACGCTGCAAGTCATCAGTGTATGCACATATTGCTAGAGGATAGCAGAAATCAGTTCACTAGATTAGTTAACAGAAGTTATCTAAAACTGCTTCCCCAGCTCCACCTTCTTTAACATGCTAAGCGCATTGTGGAACATTCCATCGATTATGCCGGCAACCTGCAACGTGGGAAGTCCAAACGTCAGAAACATTAAACAAACCAACAAATTCTGTTAAAATGTGACCGTTTTAGGTGAGGAGTGTACACATAAAATACCGGTAGAATACGCACCGTGAAGACGCCACCAATGATAGCACAGAGGTTAGTGATGAAGTGGAAGAAAGGACGCCTTGTCTCCACGATGAGAACCTGGGAGAGGAGGGGAGGAGGCATGACGAGCATTGGTCAGACAACACAGTTGATTGAGGTTACTGCAATAGTGACCTGCCCATCGAACGTGCACTTCTAAGAAAAGCAGACATACTGGAATCTGAAACACTAATAAAAGCAGTTCACGGATTACCGACCTGCATGAATAACCTACTTGCATGCATAGGTTACCGACCTGCATGGGCGAGAGCTCGTAGTGGAAGCGCGAGACAGGCACGGAGGGCGCCTGCAGCGTGTGGCTGTGTGCGGTGTAGTCGTATGAGTGCAGCGAGCTGTCCTTGCGGGATACTCCCAAGGGATGCACCTCCGTCAACACTATCTGCATGAAGTGCTCGTGCTGTTGGTGGGGGAGGGGGGTTGAGGGGGGTTTTGGGGGGGGGTGGGCAAGGAGAGAAGGAGGAGTGGTGTGACGTGAGAGTCACCTCAGTCAGCACTATTTGCATAAAGTGCTCGTGCTGGGGGGGAGAGTTGTGAGGAAGAGAAGGAGAGTGTGGGAGGCGGGAACGAGCTGTCCTTGCGGGATACTCCAGGGGGTGCACCTCCGTAAACACTATCTGCATAAAGTGCTTGTTGTGAGGGGGGGGACAGTGGGAGAGGGGGAGAGAGGGAGGGGGAGTGAGTTGTCCATGCAGGATACTTCCAAAAGATACTCATACACCCCCATTTACAGTCACACTGACACACCAGCACTGTTGCCAATACAGTGGCAACGTCATTGTTGGAGTGGAACGAATGCCCTGCGTGTCGCTCCACGGGTCGAGATGAGACGGGCAGAGGCGCGCCACAAGCTCCTGCTTGCGGCGGGGTGAGATTGAGCCCCACTTCCCTCAGTGCTACACGGACACCACTACCATGCACTGAGACGGGCCCGTGTGTCAGTGTGACCATGCCCACTTACAGTGACATTGTCATGGTTGGAGTGAAAGGAATGTCCTTCCAGCCGCCCCACAGGGGCAGGCACATAAGGGCGCAGCCGCGCTACCAGCTCCTGCTTGCGGCGGGTGAGCTGGCGACTGCCTCTCACTGCTAAATTAACACCATGATCGTTGTTCAACCCCACTTACAGTAACATTGTCGTGGTTGGAGTGAAACGAGTGCCCCTCCAGCCTCCCCACAGGGGCAGGCACATAGGGGCGCAGCCGCGCTACCAGCTCCTGCTTGCGGCGGGTGAGCTGGCGACTGCCTCTCACTGCTAAATTAACACCATGATCGTTGTTCAACCCCACTTACAGTAACATTGTCGTGGTTGGAGTGAAACGAGTGCCCCTCCAGCCTCCCCACAGGGGCAGGCACATAGGGGCGCAGCCGCGCCACCAGCTCCTGCTTGCGGCGGGTGAGCTGGCGACCGAAGGAGAAGCGGTGGATGGAGTGCGTCATGTTCATCGTTGCGGCGTCAAACGAGTGCGCCGTGGAATGAGCCGTTATCATCAGATTGCCCGGCACCTGTGCACATAGGGTAGCAGTGTGGGGAGGAGGGAGGAGTGCGGAGGGCGGGGATACAGCGGGGATTGGGTGGAAATAAGCAGGGAAGAGCGCGGGGAGAGGGCCGCGAGGGGATGGGGAGAGGGGTCCATGAGGGTTGAAAGAGGGTGAGAGGAGGGCAGGGGGAAGACGAGCGAGGTGATGTTTGCATGAACTAAAGAATCGGCTCACCTTTTTGACAAGCACGAAGCCCTCGATGTTGCAGCCGCCAGAGGCAGGCGCGCGGCGCTTCACGTGCTGGTGGCTGTCCTCCGCTGCTGTGGGGCGCCCCACTGTGGCTGAAGGGACCAAGGATTCCGCGAACTGATAGGGCAGGGTTAGGAAGGAAGAGGGAAGGGTCGTTGTTATAGAGACTTCCTCAGCACTTATCGCTTGACGTGCTGGTGGCTGTCCTCCGCTGCTGTGGGGCGCCCCACTGTGGCTGAAGGGACCAAGGATTCCGCGAACTGATAGGGCAGGGTTAGGAAGGAAGAGGGAAGGGTCGTTGTTATAGAGACTTCCTCAGCACTTATCGCTTGACGTGCTGGTGGCTGTCCTCCGCTGCTGTGGGGCGCCCTACTGTGGCCAATGGCACCAGGGACTCCGCGAACTGGGAGGCAAGGGGAGAGAGGAAGAGGGAGGATGGTTGTTAAGGTAACTTCCCTTATCGCTTGACGTGCTGATGGCTGTCCTCCGCTGAGGCGGGACGCCCCACCGCTGCCGATGGCACGAGGGATGAGGGACTCCGCGAACTGAGGAGCTTACACAGCACGCAAGGGGGGTGAGTGATAATTCAAAGAGAAGTGCGCTTTGCATGGGCTGGGCGTAACCAGCGCAGAGCAGCGGACTGAAACTACACACCAAATGGAAGAAAGCAGAGCATACAGGGGGGGGTTGGGTGGTCACATGGCCCCGGCAACAGCACAGGCGGCTCTGGTGATGTTGGGGAAGAATACAGGCGCGGGGGCGGGAAAAGAAGGGCATGGAGGGAAAGAAAAGCATACCGCAACGAGTGACTCGGCATCGCGCTCGCCATAATACGACTCGTGGTCATGCTCCCCGTGCTCTCCATGCATGCTGCACAGAGCGCATCACATGCCATGCCACAGGGAAAACAACAGATTATGCAAGTTATGAAGTGCATCAACAAGTCTCATAAGCCATACTTGCTCCTCATGCATGCTCGGCGGGTCGACCTGGCACAAAGCTCTACCTACCCAAGGGCTCCTTATGCGCATGCAGTCACCACAGGTCTGTGTCGTTACACTTCGCTTGCCTAACAGTGAGAACACACAGAGGTTAAGCTACTGTAAATCCTCTTTTGTTGTGTGCACTCACCGGAGGTCCATGCCCTTGCGGAAGATGCGAATGGACGGGAAGCCCTGAATGTGGTTGCTGCAGTGGAAGGGGAGGGAGGGCGACGGAAGGCACGGGAGTATCGCATTTGGGATCACGGAAGTTGCTTAGGAAACAGCGCACATGCAGCAGGTTTGAGAAAAATGACAAACGACTGTAATGAGGATGCAGACACGGATCTCATGGCTCTAAGGAGGAGCAAAGAAAGCTTACTCTCGGCACACGTCCTGGTAGATGGTGCAGTCGATCTTGGCAAAGCGGATTCGGCCATCGTAGTCAGGATGGTACCTGATACGGAGCATGGAGATAGTTGAGAGAAGCCAGGGAGAGAGAAGAGAGAAGAAAGCGAGAAGGGAGAAGGAAAAGAGGGTAAACAGAGAGTGACAGGAGGAGCAATACGAATAGACAGATGCCACGTGAGTAGCTCGATAGCGAGTCTCTGACGGTCGTATGGGCAGTACAAGAGGAGACTCCCCTACTGCCAAAAGTTCATCAAGTACCCTTCAATACCTCTCAAAGGGCAATAAGTCAATTTTGAGAAGAAAAAAACTTACTTGCGATGGAGGACAGTCGCAGCCTTCTCCCATGCTGGCTCCTGCAGTGGAAGCATGAGGAGACGAGAGGATGGTGAGATTCACGTGAACAGTGGGACGGGCGGAGGGCGAGATGGGGAGAGGGAAGGCCGAGAGGAGGGCGAGACGAAGAGAAGGGTGGGACGGGAGGAGGGCGGGACTGGGGAAGAATGGTATGGGAGAACGGTAGTGGGTCCAGACAGGAGGAGAGCGGGGCGGGAGAGGGCAGGGCTGCAAACAAGTAAGCTAATGTAGCAAAAAGTCTGCAAGGTATACGTGCGCTGGAGTGCACTGACCAGTCTCTGGCACCAGGGGCACCAGGGGGCGAAGAAATTGACCACGAGGATCTGATACCTGCTCAGGGGGAGCACAGCGGACGCGCGGGAAGAGGGGACACCGCTATGGATGGAACACGCAGCAGCATTGGGTATCTGTGTTTGAAGTGCGATGAGCCTGACACTCAGCAAGTCATGATAGTCAAGAATGTAATAAAGCACGAGCTCAGAAAGTGGCAAAAGGGGACGTACCAGTGGGTGGAAAACAAACTCTCAGCTGAGCCACTCACTCCTGCGCGAAGTGTTCGAAGTTGTGCTTGTTGAGCACGAGCGAGCCCATGTACTCATGGCCATCCTCCGCCATCTTCTGGTTTAGAAGCGGACTCAAAGCAGCCCAACCGCACAGCACCACTCACTCATGCACGAGGTGCCAGCCCAACCGCACAGCAGCACTTACTCATGCGCAAAGTGTTCGAGCACGAGCACTTGTTGAGCACGAGCGAGCCCACGTACTCATGGCCGTCCTATGCCATCTTCTGGTTTAGAGACGACTCAAACCAGTCCAGCCGCACAGCACGGCTCCCAACCATACAGCACCACTCCCAACCGCACAGCACCACTCCCAACCGCACAGCACCACTTACTCATGCGCAAAGTGTTCGAAGTTGTCCTTGTTGAGCACGAGCGAGCCCACATACTCATGCCCGTCCTCCGCCATCTTCTGATGCACCTCCTCTGTCGTCTCGTTGCTGTCCTCTCCGTGCTTCTCCGGCACCGGCAGCGGGTCCGGGTGGTGCTCCGGTCCCACCCAGTTGCCTGCCGCGTCGATCGGGTACTTGCGCACCGTCTTGCTCAGGTTGTACCGGGCCTAAGGGGGCGTGGGAAGATGAGGGGGGGTTGGGAGGGGGAACGAGAGACGCCTCTCCGGCACGGGCAGCGGGTCCGGATGGTGCTCCGGCCCCACCCAGTTGCCTGCCGCGTCGATCGGATACTTGCGCACCGTCTTGCTCAGGTTGTACCGCGCCTGGGGGGATGAGGGGGATGGGGGAGATGAGAGGAGCAATGAGAGATGCCTCTCCGGCACGGGCAGCGGGTCCGGATGGTGCTCCGGCCCCACCCAGTTGCCTGCCTCGTCGATGGGGTACTTGCGCACCGTCTTGCTCAGGTTGTACCGCGCCTAAGGGGATGGAGGGGATGGCGGAGATTGTGGGGGAGAGGGGTGAGGGGAGGGGGGAAGGAGCGGGATGAGGTAGGAAGGGGGAGTCGGAGATGCGTTGATGGGCTACTTGGGGGCGGTCTTGCTCAGGTTAAACCGCGGCTGAGCGGATGTGAGGCAGGAGGAATAAGACGAGGCGTGACGAGGGGGATACTATTGCAAATGGGTGCAGGGCTCTCCCAAGACGGTATTGCGGTGTTTGGAATGAGCGATGTGGCGTTGTATGCGCGTGCCAGTGATGGTGCATCGCCGAATGAGCACCTTGATGAACATTGCAGGATGGCACTCGTGCAAGTGACCGGATTCAGGCGAATTCACGGCGGATTGAACATACATTCAGAGAAGATCCCAAACGGTATGAGAGCGTGAGAGCGGATTCAGGGCGGACTCAGGGCGGATTCAGGGCGGATTCAGGCCTTACAGTTCCGAGCACGTCGGTGACGTCGACTGACGCGAACTCACACGACAGCGCTGGGAAACTGCACGGGGACAGAACAGAAAACAGTTTCACGAATGGCAAAATCCACTGACAAATAAAAGAAAACGCGGTGACTGATTCGATACTGGTCGGTGCGTAGACATGTGGAAATTCGGCACGTGACATAGAGCCAGCAGCGTTAGGCAGTGATCGCTGACCAGCCTCACCTGAAGTTGAAGTTTATCCGAAGCAGCTCGCCGTTTTGGCTCTGATCGACGATGACTTGCGTCGTGGTGGAGACTTTAAGAAAGCTGTTTAGCTCCTGAAAGGCAGAGAAGGTGAACGACAAAGGCCGGAAAACGTCACTTGAGTGGAAAGCGAAGGTGAAAGCGGAAATATTAGCACGAAGGAAAAGGAGGAACGAGCTTAAGCTGCTGTCCAGTCTCCAGCTACACTTAGTCAGCTCAGTCAAGAGAGAAATAGAAACACGAAGCGACGTGGTTTCGAAGTCGTACCGCGACAAAGAGGAAGATCATGGTCGTCGCGGCTACGATCGAGAGACTCGCACCGGAGAACGAAGCCTCAGTGAGATCCCGAGGGATCTTCCTGCGAAAATGCAAGACGATAATATATAAAAAGAAGCCTTCCTTAAGGTGAGAAAAATAGAGGATCCACCACGGCCGACTCGACATTGGCACACGATTGGTGACTACTGCCGTCATTGGCTCCGTTTCTAATCGCACCTGTAGAAATCTAACGCCTTGAGCTTCGCAAAGGTCGACATGGCTGCAGCACGTAGACGAAAACCGCAATGCTCCGGTCCGGGATGTAAAGCGGCGATAATCTGCCGGCTGCCCGAGCACCTACACTCCTGGATCGCCTAGATCCAACGAGACTGCTTCAAGCGCAGGATTATGTTCCGAAGTTGCCGAGGAACTAATTTACAGCATCAGGGAGGAAGACTGAGATTGGACTGACTGATTGGAAGTAATCTCGGTGTAGAGAAACCTCGGAGTTGGTTTGTTCTATTGCAGGGAGCTCGTGTGTTTTTCAGATGCGATACAAGAGAAATTGAAATTGAACGGTTAGAAGCGGAAACAAGAATGTACCTTGTAACGAGGACAGCATTATTTTTCGGCAGCAGAACAACCAGCCTGATATACTCGTTCTTGAGATTGTCCTGAGATGCTCACACCGTCAGCCGCCGCTCCACCGCATTTGCTTGTTCGATTGAAAGCATCAATATCAGAAGCTGACGATGGTCCAGCGAATAGCAATGCAAAGGCACGTCACAGAGCCTGAATAGCAGTGCAATAGCTGAAGAAACCATCCTAAATCCGCGAGCCTGAACCGCGCTTCAGAGATTTCTGGTAGCTGGATTCGTTGCGTGCGCTTTACGCCACTTTGAGATTAGTTTTTTTCTCTACCTCCCGCACGTGGCGTCCTCGAAGCAATCCCGAGGCGCCGTAACGCCCACATTTGACGCTTACACGGCCGTAGAGACGATTAGGAAGGCGATTAAGGACCGAGAAAGGGAGGACGGGAAGTGGAGGAAGGGAGCGGGTAAGAACGAGGGTCTTGATCGAGGCGGATTTGAAAAAGGGAGAAGCAAGAGGAGGGCAAAAGGGGAGGAGAAGGGGACAGGGGAGGAGAGGAAGGGGAAGAAGGGCGACGAGAAAGGGAAGCGGGGATGGCGCAGCAGGGAGGGGCCGGGCGGGGGGGAGGGCGCGGACCACCGCTGCAAGCGGGGGGAGGGCGCGGGGGAGGCGGAAGGGGAGGCGGACCGCAGCAAGCAGGCGGAACGGATCCCGCGCCTGCTGCGATCACGTTCACTAAGGACCCGGTGATGGAAGACAAACGACCAAGGAAGATGTGAGTGGGGGAGGAAAGGGATGGCGAAGAGTTGGCGAACAGTGGGAAGGGAAGGCACAAGATCGCGCCTGCTGCGATCACGTTTATTAAGGAGCCTGTGATGGAAGACAAACGGCCAAGGAAGATGTGAGCGGAGGAAAGGGGGGAAGGGGGGTGGGTGGGTGCATGAAGGGGGAATCTGAGATCCCCGTAAGCAAACTGCCTCTTTCCGTGCCCATCACTCTCCCACCTTCTCCCCCATTCTTTTGAGTCTTTGGTTCAGTATGACGAGATGTGTGCACATGAGAGATTGAGGGGAGTGCATGTTGGCTTGGCTCCGTTTCACCCCTCGCCCTTTCTCAAATTCACCCTCCGTTTTCATCCACCCTAACCCCTGGCAGCAAGAGCGTGCGGTTCAGCACGATGAGTGCGCACGAGATAATGAAGAGTGCGGAGGTGCAGATATCGGAGAGGAGTCTGTACCAGCTGCCAGAGCGCAAGCCCACGCCCTTCGGGGTGCTGGACCCTCGCCTGGTGAGTCTGTGTGCTGCGCTTTGTTGACCCTCGCCTGGTGAGTGAGTGCTTCAAGGCTCGTGCGTGTGCGATGCTGCTCACTCACGAGCCTCTGATCAGCCTTTGATTCAAGACTGGAGAGCGTGCTTGAGTTGCCAGGAGTTTGTTCTGGGAAGAGATACAACAACACTAGGTGCCCCTTTTCCCTTCGTCTCAAGAAACAATTCCAAGTGCGATTGTGTCACCCGTTGTTTCTGCACACACACAGGGGACGACGAGCAAGAAGGGCGAGTGCTCAACCTGTAACGGCACGCTGCAGGACTGTGCGGGGCACTTTGGGTACATCCGCTTGGAGCTGCCGGTGTACCACATGGGGTACTTCAAAGTCATCCTGCTCATCATGCAATGCATCTGCAAGGTAGGTTGTGACTGGGTATGACCGGTACTACTAGGTTCTTGGTATGGTTATACAGCAGCAAGCGGGGCACTTTGGGTACATTCGCCTGGAGCTGCCGGTGTATCACATGGGGTACTTCAAAGTCATCCTGCTCATCATGCAATGCATCTGCAAGGTGAGTGGTATTGAGCGATGATGAATTGCCTGTGTATCCCATGAATTGCACGGATGGTTCAGCTGCCGGTGTACCACATGGGGTACTTTAAAGTCATTCTCCTCATCATGCAATGCATCTGTAAGGTACGTGGGGACCGGCTATGACCGGTACTGCTAGGTACTTTGTGGTATGGTAATACAGCAGCAAGCGGGGCACTTTGGGTACATCAGGCTGGAGCTGTCAGTGTACCACATGGGGTACTTCAAAGTCATTCTGCTCATCATGCAATGCATCTGCAAGGTACGTGGGACTGGGCGATGGTAAAATGCATGTGTATTGGATCACATGGGTTACGCGGATGGTTCAGCTGCCTGTGTACCACATGGGGTACTTTAAAGTCATCCTACTCATCATGCAATGCATCTGCAAAGTAATTTGGTGATCGGCTATGGTGAAATGCATACTTTTGTGTCTTGCTCCACCAATGTTTCAGCTGCCTGTCCACACCGCATCACACCACATTAAAACCCACCCCACACCCCACCCCACCTCACTCCACCACACTCCACCACACCACTCCACACCACACCCCACTTCACAGAACTGTGGGCGGATTCTGCTGAGCGACGAGGAGCGGCGGCAGTGGCTGAAGAAGTTTCGGCACCCGCGGGTGGAGGTGCTGCAGAAGAAGGCCATGGTGAAGCGCGTTTCAGAGCGGTGCAAGCGCACCAGGATGTGCCACTACTGCGGAGACCACAACGGTGAGTTGATTGGGTTTCTGTGCGTGAGGACTGGGTTTCCGTTCCGTGCGTGAGGCTTGGGTTTGCTGCGTGTGCCGTGAGGCGAGGCCTGGAGGTGGTGAGGCGCGTGGATGGAGGCACAAAGCAGCAGCAGCACCCACATAAACCAGAAACTCTGAACCCTGAACCCTGTACCGCATCCTTTCCCGCCTTCCAGGCACTGTGAAGAAGCTGACTGGCACGCTGAAGCTGTCCCACGACAAGTACGGGAAAGACGTGGACGCCAAGGACGAGGTGATGGCAGTGCACGGTTGTCAGTCGGCACGAGATGGATACCCTGAACCATAAACCCCTGTTGAACCCCGTGTCCTGCAGGCACCGTGAAGAAGCTGACTGGCACGCTGAAACTGTCTCACGACAAGTACGCCAAGGATATGGATGCCAAGGACGACGTGGTGCGGCGCATGGAGGCCGTGCGTGGTTGTCATTTACCCTGTGACTGAGCCATTATAACCCCTGTTGAACGCCACATGTTACAGGCACGGTGAAGAAGCTGACTGGCACGCTCAAGCTGTCCCACGACAAGTTCGGCAAGGACATGGATGCAAAGGATGAGGTGGTGCGGCGCATGGAGGCAGCCGTCAAGCCAAGTTCACACTAAAACTCCTAACCTTTGAACCATAATTCCGCTTGCGAACGCCACACCTTCCAGGCAGCGTGAAGAAGCTGACTGGCACGCTAAAGCTATCCCATGACAAGTACGGCAAGGATATGGACGCCAAGGATGATGTGGTGCGGCGCATGGAGGCAGCGGTGGAGGCGAACAAGGAGATAGCGCAGCACTCGAGCAAGGTGGCGGACGACCTCAACCCCGTCAGAGTGCTGTGGCTCATGGAGAGGATGCTGGATGAGGTGAGGATTGTAGCATGCACTGTGTTAAGTGGTTTCCTGGATCCGTTCCTTGGAGTGTGAGTCCCCTCGCCACGCAGCACTCGAGCAAGGTGGCGGACGACCTCAACCCCGTTAGGGTGCTGTGGCTCATGGAGAGGATGCTGGATGAGGTAGGGGTTGTTTCTAGGCGCCTCAAAACTGTTGACTACTTTTGTGGCACCTCAGCAGGCGAACAGGGAGATAGCTCAGCACTCCACCAAAGTGGCGGACGATCTCAACCCCGTGAGGGTGCTGTGGCTCATGGAGAGGATGCTGGATGAGGTACGCACAGACCTTCGGTGCTTCAACAATTCCGGCCCCTTGAGCTGTTTGTTCCTTGGAGTATGAATCGCGTCGTCATGTGCAGCACTCGAGCAACGTGGCGGACGACCTCAACCCCGTGCGGGTGCTGTGGCTGATGGAGCGCATGCTGGATGAGGTAGGGGGTTTGAGACGCCTCAGAACGTTTGAATAATATGAGGTGTCTCGTTAGGCGAATTGCTCTGCTCTACCCTGCCTGCCCTGCTCTGCCTCACATCCCCTCATCCCCCCTCTTCCTCTCCCCCCTCCTCTCCCCACTGTCCCACCCAGGACTGTGAGCTTCTAGACCTCTACTATCGCCCCGAGCACCTCATAGTAACGCACCTCTCAGTGCCCCCGGTGGCCATCCGTCCATCTGTGGTGGAGTCAGTCGTGTGTTGTTCCCCTGCTCTGTTCTTCTTTCCCCTCACTCCCCATGGTGCCCAGGACTGTGAGCTTCTAGACCTCTACTATCGCCCCGAGCACCTAATAGTAACCCACCTCTCAGTCCCCCCAGTGGCCATCCGGCCGTCCGTGGTGATGGAGTCGGCCCGATGTGCCGAGCCTGTTCCTCTGCGCTTCTCAGCTCTTCTCTGCACTGCTTCCCCTCACTCACTACCCCCTCCCCCTCACCCCAGGACTGTGAGCTACTAGACCTCTACTATCGCCCGGAGCGCCTCATAGTAACGCACCTCTCAGTGCCCCCGGTGGCCATCCGGCCGTCCGTGGTGATGGAGTCAGCAGCGGGGAGCAACGAGGACGATGCGACGATGAAGCTGGCGGTGATCATTGAGGTCAACAGCGCGCTTCGATTGGGCATTCAGAAGGGACTGCCCATGCCCAACCTCGTGGTGAGCCCAGGGTTCTGGCGGTTTGGATGGTTCAGGGTTTCGGGTTCGGGGCGTGGGTTTATGGGTTGGGGGGTGGCAGCAGCGGCGGGGAGCAACGAGGATGATGCGACGATGAAGCTGGCGGTGATTATTGAAGTCAACAGCGCGCTCAGACTGGGCATTCAGAAGGGACTGCCCATGCCCAACCTCGTGGTCGGTGCCGGGTTTCAGTGTTCAGGTTCGAAGGGATTCGTATTCAAGGTTTCGAATTTGGGATCTTGGGATGGCAGCAGTAATGGGGAGCAACGGGGATGATGCGACCATTATGTTGGTTTATTGCCTCATCCATGCAGTTCTCATCCATTCCCATCTCTCTCTGCAAAATATGTATCTTTCACAGGAGAACTGGGATTTTCTGCAGCTGCAAGTGGGGCTCTACATCAACTCGGAGCTCCCAGGGCTGCCGCTAGCAGCGCAGCGCACGAAGCCTCAATGCTTTTCTCACCTCTCCCCATCTCTCTCTATAAACTGTACATAAAATGCTTCTTGTCAACAGGAGAACTGGGACTTCCTGCAGCTGCAAGTGGGGCTCTACATCAACTCGGAGCTCCCAGGGCTGCCGCTAGCAGCACAGCCCACGAAGCCAACGCGGGGGTTCGTGCAGCGGCTGAAGGGCAAGCAGGGGCGGTTCCGACAGAACCTGTCGGGCAAGCGAGTGGACTTCAGTGGCCGCACCGTCATATCCCCCGACCCTAATCTCAAGATCTCTGAGGTGGGTGTGTGTGTGGGGAGTGGTGTGTGCGCAGGAGTGAAAGGACATTCCGAGACTCTCCTCTCCCCCATGACATTCCATGACTTCTGAACCCTTTAACCCATGCCCCTCCTGACTCTGAACCCTTTAACCCATGCCCCTCCTGACTCTGAACCCTTTAACCCATGCCCCTCCTGACTCTGAACCACCAGGTGGCGAGGCGGCACCCTCTACACATGGCGCAGCTGCTGATGTTCCCCGAGGCAGTGAGCCGGCACAGGTCTTGCTAGCGCTCATTCCTCTCTTCTCCCCTCCCTTGTCCCTCGCATGCCCCTTCCGCCTGCCACCTCTGTATTCCCCGCAGGTGGCGGTACTGATGCACATGGCGTAGCTGTTGACGTTCCTCGAGGCTGTGAGCAGAGTTCTTGCTAGCAACCACTCCTCTCCTCTCCCCTCTTTTGCCCGTCCCTAATCGCCTGCCTGCCACCCCTGCTTCCCCGCAGGTGGCAGTCCCCGTGCACATGGCGCAGCTGCTGACGTTCCTCGAGGCTGTGAGCCGCCACAGGTCTTGCTAGCACCCATTCCTCTCTTCTCCCCTCCCTTGCTCCCTCCCATGCGCCATGCCCCTTACGCCTGCCACCTCTGTATTCCCCTCCCTTATTCCCCGCAGGTGGCAGTGCCGATGCACATGGCGCAGCTGCTGACATTCCCCGAGGCGGTGAGTCAGCACAGGTCTTGCAAGCACTCACTCCTCTCCCCCCCCTTACCCCCGTCCATGCCCTTCTGAATTAAACCTCCCCAGGTGGCGGTGCCGATGCACATGGCGCAGCTGTTGACCTTCCCCGAGGCAGTGAGTCGGCACAACATCCACAAGCTGCGGCAGCTGGTCATCAACGGCACCGCCAAGTACCCCGGCGCTAACTTCGTGCTCTACCCCAACGGCAACAAGTGGTGAGTGAGTGAGATGGTGCTCCTCAGTGTGTTCTATGTCTGATGCAGAGTGTGATCCGTTGGGTTGCCTCAAGGCAGCTGGTCATCCACGGCACCGCCAAGTATCCCGGCGCTAACTTTGTACTCTACCCCAACCCAACGGCAACAAGTGGTGAGTGAGCCTTGGGAACCAAGGGGGAAAAGGGATTAGCATTAGCGTACGTTTACACAGTGGTGATAGGCACCTGGCTGGAGGGTGGCGACGTGGTGCTCTTGTGGTGCTGCTACCTTGATGCTGTTAAATATTGCGTTTTTTTTTTAGCCTGTGCTGGATTCTCTCACGCCTTGTCCCCTCACTTTGACATAGAGGAGAGGCATCTGGAGGATGGCGACGTGGTGCTGTTCATCGCTCTTTAGCATGTCATGTTCACACGCCTGTGTGCCTCACCCACCGCCCGTCCCAGGTTTCTCAAGTATGGAGATCGCAGGCGAGTGGCAGCAGAGCTCAAGTACGGGGACATAGTGGAGAGGCACCTGGAGGACGGCGACATGGTGCTGTTCAACCGCCAGCCCAGCCTTCATCGCATGTCCATCATGTGCCACCGGGTAGGGTGCCGCTGCTGCACGGGTAATGCTGCTGCACGGGTAATGCTGCTGCACGGGTAATGCTGCTGCACGGGTAATGCTGCTGCACGGGTAATGCTGCTGCAGGCTTTTACAGTCCTTAACACCTACCCTTTCCTCCCCTCCCCCTCCCTCACCGCTCATGAATTGCAGGCGCGGGTTATGCCATGGAAGACACTGCGTTTCAACGAGAGTGTGTGCAATCCGTACAATGCGGATTTCGATGGCGATGAGATGAACATGCATGTGCCGCAGACCGAGGAGGCCAGGACAGAGGCGCTGCTGCTCATGGGGGTATGTGCGGCGGTTCAGTGTGTTTCCATGCGGTTTGATGCGTTTTCAAAGCGGTTGGGTTTTGGCGTTGTACTGTTGCGACATTTTGTTGTCATACAGCCAAGCCAACAATCTCTGTTTCTTCCTGTCGTGTCGTCTCCATCTATCTCCCTCATATCCCTCACTTGAAGAACAATCAGTGTACGCCTGATAACCAGCACACTCGTGGGGTGTTTTATGCCTCTGAAAATATGTATTCACCTCTTCAGTCCCTATCCCACTACTCTCCATCCATCCCTCTGCTCCTCTCCACCTGACATCCTTTGTGGAGAGCAACAACCTGTGCACGCCCAAGAACGGCGGCATCCTTGTGGCTTTTGAGTCGATATGAGCATCATCCTTTCCTTCTCTCTGCCTTGCACCGACTTCTGTGTTTAACGTGCCTTTCGGTCAGGTGGAGAACAACCTGTGCACGCCCAAGAACGGCGGCATCCTTGTGGCTTTTGAGTCGATATGAGCATCATCCTTTCCTTCTCTCTGCCTTGCACCGACTTCTGTGTTTAACGTGCCTTTCGGTCAGGTGGAGAACAACCTGTGCACGCCCAAGAACGGCGGCATCCTTGTGGCTTTTGAGTCGATATGAGCATCATCCTTTCCTTCTCTCTGCCTTGCACCGACTTCTGTGTTTAACGTGCCTTTCGGTCAGGTGGAGAACAACCTGTGCACGCCCAAGAACGGCGGCATCCTTGTGGCTTTTGAGTCGATATGAGCATCATCCTTTCCTTCTCTCTGCCTTGCACCGACTTCTGTGTTTAACGTGCCTTTCGGTCAGGTGGAGAACAACCTGTGCACGCCCAAGAACGGCGGCATCCTTGTGGCTTTTGAGTCGATATGAGCATCATCCTTTCCTTCTCTCTGCCTTGCACCGACTTCTGTGTTTAACGTGCCTTTCGGTCAGGTGGAGAACAACCTGTGCACGCCCAAGAACGGCGGCATCCTTGTGGCTTTTGAGTCGATATGAGCATCATCCTTTCCTTCTCTCTGCCTTGCACCGACTTCTGTGTTTAACGTGCCTTTCGGTCAGGTGGAGAACAACCTGTGCACGCCCAAGAACGGCGGCATCCTTGTGGCTTTTGAGTCGATATGAGCATCATCCTTTCCTTCTCTCTGCCTTGCACCGACTTCTGTGTTTAACGTGCCTTTCGGTCAGGTGGAGAACAACCTGTGCACGCCCAAGAACGGCGGCATCCTTGTGGCTTTTGAGTCGATATGAGCATCATCCTTTCCTTCTCTCTGCCTTGCACCGACTTCTGTGTTTAACGTGCCTTTCGGTCAGGTGGAGAACAACCTGTGCACGCCCAAGAACGGCGGCATCCTTGTGGCTTTTGAGTCGATATGAGCATCATCCTTTCCTTCTCTCTGCCTTGCACCGACTTCTGTGTTTAACGTGCCTTTCGGTCAGGTGGAGAACAACCTGTGCACGCCCAAGAACGGCGGCATCCTTGTGGCTTTTGAGTCGATATGAGCATCATCCTTTCCTTCTCTCTGCCTTGCACCGACTTCTGTGTTTAACGTGCCTTTCGGTCAGGTGGAGAACAACCTGTGCACGCCCAAGAACGGCGGCATCCTTGTGGCTTTTGAGTCGATATGAGCATCATCCTTTCCTTCTCTCTGCCTTGCACCGACTTCTGTGTTTAACGTGCCTTTCGGTCAGGTGGAGAACAACCTGTGCACGCCCAAGAACGGCGGCATCCTTGTGGCTTTTGAGTCGATATGAGCATCATCCTTTCCTTCTCTCTGCCTTGCACCGACTTCTGTGTTTAACGTGCCTTTCGGTCAGGTGGAGAACAACCTGTGCACGCCCAAGAACGGCGGCATCCTTGTGGCTTTTGAGTCGATATGAGCATCATCCTTTCCTTCTCTCTGCCTTGCACCGACTTCTGTGTTTAACGTGCCTTTCGGTCAGGTGGAGAACAACCTGTGCACGCCCAAGAACGGCGGCATCCTTGTGGCTTTTGAGTCGATATGAGCATCATCCTTTCCTTCTCTCTGCCTTGCACCGACTTCTGTGTTTAACGTGCCTTTCGGTCAGGTGGAGAACAACCTGTGCACGCCCAAGAACGGCGGCATCCTTGTGGCTTTTGAGTCGATATGAGCATCATCCTTTCCTTCTCTCTGCCTTGCACCGACTTCTGTGTTTAACGTGCCTTTCGGTCAGGTGGAGAACAACCTGTGCACGCCCAAGAACGGCGGCATCCTTGTGGCTTTTGAGTCGATATGAGCATCATCCTTTCCTTCTCTCTGCCTTGCACCGACTTCTGTGTTTAACGTGCCTTTCGGTCAGGTGGAGAACAACCTGTGCACGCCCAAGAACGGCGGCATCCTTGTGGCTTTTGAGTCGATATGAGCATCATCCTTTCCTTCTCTCTGCCTTGCACCGACTTCTGTGTTTAACGTGCCTTTCGGTCAGGTGGAGAACAACCTGTGCACGCCCAAGAACGGCGGCATCCTTGTGGCTTTTGAGTCGATATGAGCATCATCCTTTCCTTCTCTCTGCCTTGCACCGACTTCTGTGTTTAACGTGCCTTTCGGTCAGGTGGAGAACAACCTGTGCACGCCCAAGAACGGCGGCATCCTTGTGGCTTTTGAGTCGATATGAGCATCATCCTTTCCTTCTCTCTGCCTTGCACCGACTTCTGTGTTTAACGTGCCTTTCGGTCAGGTGGAGAACAACCTGTGCACGCCCAAGAACGGCGGCATCCTTGTGGCTTTTGAGTCGATATGAGCATCATCCTTTCCTTCTCTCTGCCTTGCACCGACTTCTGTGTTTAACGTGCCTTTCGGTCAGGTGGAGAACAACCTGTGCACGCCCAAGAACGGCGGCATCCTTGTGGCTTTTGAGTCGATATGAGCATCATCCTTTCCTTCTCTCTGCCTTGCACCGACTTCTGTGTTTAACGTGCCTTTCGGTCAGGTGGAGAACAACCTGTGCACGCCCAAGAACGGCGGCATCCTTGTGGCTTTTGAGTCGATATGAGCATCATCCTTTCCTTCTCTCTGCCTTGCACCGACTTCTGTGTTTAACGTGCCTTTCGGTCAGGTGGAGAACAACCTGTGCACGCCCAAGAACGGCGGCATCCTTGTGGCTTTTGAGTCGATATGAGCATCATCCTTTCCTTCTCTCTGCCTTGCACCGACTTCTGTGTTTAACGTGCCTTTCGGTCAGGTGGAGAACAACCTGTGCACGCCCAAGAACGGCGGCATCCTTGTGGCTTTTGAGTCGATATGAGCATCATCCTTTCCTTCTCTCTGCCTTGCACCGACTTCTGTGTTTAACGTGCCTTTCGGTCAGGTGGAGAACAACCTGTGCACGCCCAAGAACGGCGGCATCCTTGTGGCTTTTGAGTCGATATGAGCATCATCCTTTCCTTCTCTCTGCCTTGCACCGACTTCTGTGTTTAACGTGCCTTTCGGTCAGGTGGAGAACAACCTGTGCACGCCCAAGAACGGCGGCATCCTTGTGGCTTTTGAGTCGATATGAGCATCATCCTTTCCTTCTCTCTGCCTTGCACCGACTTCTGTGTTTAACGTGCCTTTCGGTCAGGTGGAGAACAACCTGTGCACGCCCAAGAACGGCGGCATCCTTGTGGCTTTTGAGTCGATATGAGCATCATCCTTTCCTTCTCTCTGCCTTGCACCGACTTCTGTGTTTAACGTGCCTTTCGGTCAGGTGGAGAACAACCTGTGCACGCCCAAGAACGGCGGCATCCTTGTGGCTTTTGAGTCGATATGAGCATCATCCTTTCCTTCTCTCTGCCTTGCACCGACTTCTGTGTTTAACGTGCCTTTCGGTCAGGTGGAGAACAACCTGTGCACGCCCAAGAACGGCGGCATCCTTGTGGCTTTTGAGTCGATATGAGCATCATCCTTTCCTTCTCTCTGCCTTGCACCGACTTCTGTGTTTAACGTGCCTTTCGGTCAGGTGGAGAACAACCTGTGCACGCCCAAGAACGGCGGCATCCTTGTGGCTTTTGAGTCGATATGAGCATCATCCTTTCCTTCTCTCTGCCTTGCACCGACTTCTGTGTTTAACGTGCCTTTCGGTCAGGTGGAGAACAACCTGTGCACGCCCAAGAACGGCGGCATCCTTGTGGCTTTTGAGTCGATATGAGCATCATCCTTTCCTTCTCTCTGCCTTGCACCGACTTCTGTGTTTAACGTGCCTTTCGGTCAGGTGGAGAACAACCTGTGCACGCCCAAGAACGGCGGCATCCTTGTGGCTTTTGAGTCGATATGAGCATCATCCTTTCCTTCTCTCTGCCTTGCACCGACTTCTGTGTTTAACGTGCCTTTCGGTCAGGTGGAGAACAACCTGTGCACGCCCAAGAACGGCGGCATCCTTGTGGCTTTTGAGTCGATATGAGCATCATCCTTTCCTTCTCTCTGCCTTGCACCGACTTCTGTGTTTAACGTGCCTTTCGGTCAGGTGGAGAACAACCTGTGCACGCCCAAGAACGGCGGCATCCTTGTGGCTTTTGAGTCGATATGAGCATCATCCTTTCCTTCTCTCTGCCTTGCACCGACTTCTGTGTTTAACGTGCCTTTCGGTCAGGTGGAGAACAACCTGTGCACGCCCAAGAACGGCGGCATCCTTGTGGCTTTTGAGTCGATATGAGCATCATCCTTTCCTTCTCTCTGCCTTGCACCGACTTCTGTGTTTAACGTGCCTTTCGGTCAGGTGGAGAACAACCTGTGCACGCCCAAGAACGGCGGCATCCTTGTGGCTTTTGAGTCGATATGAGCATCATCCTTTCCTTCTCTCTGCCTTGCACCGACTTCTGTGTTTAACGTGCCTTTCGGTCAGGTGGAGAACAACCTGTGCACGCCCAAGAACGGCGGCATCCTTGTGGCTTTTGAGTCGATATGAGCATCATCCTTTCCTTCTCTCTGCCTTGCACCGACTTCTGTGTTTAACGTGCCTTTCGGTCAGGTGGAGAACAACCTGTGCACGCCCAAGAACGGCGGCATCCTTGTGGCTTTTGAGTCGATATGAGCATCATCCTTTCCTTCTCTCTGCCTTGCACCGACTTCTGTGTTTAACGTGCCTTTCGGTCAGGTGGAGAACAACCTGTGCACGCCCAAGAACGGCGGCATCCTTGTGGCTTTTGAGTCGATATGAGCATCATCCTTTCCTTCTCTCTGCCTTGCACCGACTTCTGTGTTTAACGTGCCTTTCGGTCAGGTGGAGAACAACCTGTGCACGCCCAAGAACGGCGGCATCCTTGTGGCTTTTGAGTCGATATGAGCATCATCCTTTCCTTCTCTCTGCCTTGCACCGACTTCTGTGTTTAACGTGCCTTTCGGTCAGGTGGAGAACAACCTGTGCACGCCCAAGAACGGCGGCATCCTTGTGGCTTTTGAGTCGATATGAGCATCATCCTTTCCTTCTCTCTGCCTTGCACCGACTTCTGTGTTTAACGTGCCTTTCGGTCAGGTGGAGAACAACCTGTGCACGCCCAAGAACGGCGGCATCCTTGTGGCTTTTGAGTCGATATGAGCATCATCCTTTCCTTCTCTCTGCCTTGCACCGACTTCTGTGTTTAACGTGCCTTTCGGTCAGGTGGAGAACAACCTGTGCACGCCCAAGAACGGCGGCATCCTTGTGGCTTTTGAGTCGATATGAGCATCATCCTTTCCTTCTCTCTGCCTTGCACCGACTTCTGTGTTTAACGTGCCTTTCGGTCAGGTGGAGAACAACCTGTGCACGCCCAAGAACGGCGGCATCCTTGTGGCCTCTGAGTCGATCCAGATCTCATCTCCACCTAGCGTTGCACCAATCTCTCTTGATGTGATGTCAGGTGGAGAACAACCTGTGCACGCCCAAGAACGGCGGCATCCTTGTGGCCTCTGAGTCGATCCAGATCTCATCTCCACCTAGCGTTGCACCAATCTCTCTTGATGTGATGTCAGGTGGAGAACAACCTGTGCACGCCCAAGAACGGCGGCATCCTTGTGGCCTCTGAGTCGATCCAGATCTCATCTCCACCTAGCGTTGCACCAATCTCTCTTGATGTGATGTCAGGTGGAGAACAACCTGTGCACGCCCAAGAACGGCGGCATCCTTGTGGCCTCTGAGTCGATCCAGATCTCATCTCCACCTAGCGTTGCACCAATCTCTCTTGATGTGATGTCAGGTGGAGAACAAACTGTGCACGCCCAAGAACGGCGGCATCCTTGTGGCCTCTGAGTCGATCCAGATCTCATCTCCACCTAGCGTTGCACCAATCTCTCTTGATGTGATGTCAGGTGGAGAACAAACTGTGCACGCCCAAGAACGGCGGCATCCTTGTGGCCTCTGAGTCGATCCAGATCTCATCTCCACCTAGCGTTGCACCAATCTCTCTTGATGTGATGTCAGGTGGAGAACAACCTGTGCACGCCCAAGAACGGGGAGATCCTAGTGGCCTCCACTCAGGACTTTCTCACCTCCGCCTTCCTCATCACCAGACGGTACACTCCCACTCCCACCTACTTCCCCTCTCCACTTGTGCTCATAACCGCGTGGTGTGATTCGGACATCCAACCTCTCTTCGGACATTTGCCTTCCTCATTTGAAGTTGAACCTTCACCCCCTGATCCGGCCCATCCGCCCCATCGCCCAACCCATCCCGTTACTGCTCCCAGTGACACCTTCTACGACCTCGCCTCCTTCTGCCTGCTCTGCTCCTGCATGACAGACGGGGCGATGCATGTTGACAACCCACGGGCCCCCTCACACCCATGCCACCCCTCATTTTACCCCTTCCCTCTCCTCTCACTCCCCTCAATTCCCATTTGCACCCCCAGGGACACCTTTTACGACCGCGCGTCCTTCTGCCTGCTCTGCTCGTACATGACGGACGGCGCCATGCAAGTGGACATCCCCACGCCCGCTCTGCTCAAGCCGGTGGAGCTCTGGACGGGCAAGCAGCTCATAGGCGTGCTCGTGCGCCCCTCGGCGCACGACCGCGTGTTTGTCACGCTCGGCGTGCCCGAGAAGACCTACACCAAGAAGGGCGGGCCCTTCTGTGTGAACGATGGGTTTGTCTTCTTCCGCAACAGCGAGCTGCTGTCGGGGCAGCTGGGGAAGGCCACGCTAGGTGAGCTCAGGCGGCCATTCAGATGTCTATGTTTCCACTTGGTAGCCATCCTCCCTCCTGTCCAACACCGAAAACGGCGGCCCGTTTTGTGTGAATGAATGATGTGTTTATGTTCTTCCGGAACAGCGAGCTGCTGTCGGGGCAGCTGGGGAAGGTGCTAGGTGAGCGTGCTGGCATGTTTGAGAATGTTCAGGGTGGGTGTGCTGGAAAAATAGACCTACAGCTCGAAGGGCGGGCCGTTCTGTGTGAACGATGGGTTCGTGTTCTTCCGCAACAGCGAGCTGCTGTCGGGTCAGCTGGGGAAGGCCACGCTAGGTGAGATCAGGCAGGCATACAGGCACACAGGCACACACGCACACAAGCGCATTGAAGCAGGCAATATCTCCCCTGTGTCACACATCTAATTTGAGCTGCTGTCTGGACTCAGGACAGCTGGGGAAGGCCACTCTAGGTGAGCTCGAGCCTATCCTTCCCAAGGCCTGTGAAAATGTAGAAGCAGTCAGCCAGCCAGGAAAAAAAAAATCTGTACATTCATCAAGGCGTGAGTTTTGACACGTCTCAGAACTCTTTTGAAGAGACCTCTCAAAAGAAGAGGAAGGCAGCAATCAAAGTCCACTCATCACTACCTTCTCCTCGGCTGTGTGCGTGTGTGCAGGCAACGGCAGCAAGCAGGGCCTGTTTGCGCTGCTCATGCGAGAGTACTCGGCGCAAGTGGCAGCCGTGTGCATGAACCGACTGGCCAAGCTCAGGTGAGCGGAGAGGGGGTGGGAAGGGGGGTTGGGGGATGAAAGTGGCAGCCGTGTGCATGAACCGACTCGCCAAGCTCAGGTGAGAGGAGAGGGGGTGGGAAGGGGGGTTGGGGGATGAAAGTGGCAGCAGTGTGCATGAACCGACTCGCCAAGCTCAGGTGAGAGGAGAGGGGGTGGGAAGGGGGGTTGGGGGATGAAAGTGGCAGCAGTGTGCATGAACCGACTGGCCAAGCTCAGGTGAGAGGAGAGGGGGTGGGAAGGGGGGTTGGGGGATGAAAGTGGCAGCAGTGTGCATGAACCGACTCGCCAAGCTCAGGTGAGAGGAGAGGGGGTGGGAAGGGGGGTTGGGGGATGAAAGTGGCAGCCGTGTGCATGAACCGACTCGCCAAGCTCAGGTGAGAGGAGAGGGGGTGGGAAGGGGGGTTGGGGGATGAAAGTGGCAGCCGTGTGCATGAACCGACTGGCCAAGCTCAGGTGAGAGGAGAGGGGGTGGGAAGGGGGGTTGGGGGATGAAAGTGGCAGCAGTGTGCATGAACCGACTCGCCAAGCTCAGGTGAGAGGAGAGGGGGTGGGAAGGGGGGTTGGGGGATGAAAGTGGCAGCAGTGTGCATGAACCGACTCGCCAAGCTCAGGTGAGAGGAGAGGGGGTGGGAAGGGGGGTTGGGGGATGAAAGTGGCAGCAGTGTGCATGAACCGACTGGCCAAGCTCAGGTGAGAGAGGGGGGGGTTGGGGTGAGAATGAGTGGAGAGGAATTTTGAGTTGGACTCCTGGAGTTCTCACCCATTCACTTCGGCGCAAGTGGCCGCCGTGTGCATGAACCGGCTTGCCAAGCTCAGGTGAAAAGGGGAGGGTGAGGTGAGTGGGTGAGGTGAGAAGGAGGCGAGAGAGCGAGGTGATGTTAGGGGGAAAGGGTAGAGTCTGCACGAAAAATTGAAGAACCTGCACAAGCAGCCGCCGCGTCGTTCTCCTCTCTCCTTCCCCTTTTTCCCTGATGCCTCTTCCCAGTGCACACATCGATCAGCAACCACGGGTCTCATCACTACCCTCCCTCCCTCCTTCTCATTCTCCCCCCCCACCGCGTCGCTTCCCCCTCCTCTCTTTTCCACCCTTGTTCACCCCCACAACACCAACAAACCCCCCCCAGTGCGAGGTGGATAGGCAACCACGGGTTCTCCGTCGGCATAGACGACGTGCAGCCATTAAAGCATCTGTACGCGGAGAAGCAGCGGGCTCTGGAGGAGGGGTACGATGCCAGTCGATTCCCCTCTCCCCTTCTCTTCCCTCCCCTCCTCTCCCCCCCCCCCCCCCAGTGCGAGGTGGATAGGCAACCACGGGTTCTCCATCGGAATAGACGACGTGCAACCCTCGAAGCACCTGTACGCGGAGAAGCAGAGGGCCGTGGAGGAGGGGTACGATGCTTTTCCCTCCGCTCCCCTCCCCTCCCCTCCCAACCACGCCCCTCCCAGTGCGAGGTGGATAGGCAACCACGGGTTCTCCATCGGCATCGACGACGTGCAGCCATCGAAGCACCTGTACGCGGAGAAGCAAAGGGCCGTGGAGGAGGGGTATGACGCGAGTCTGCGGCACATCCAGGCGTTCAACGAGGGCCGGCTGACGCTGCAGCCCGGGTGCAACCCCGCTCAGACTCTCGAGGCGAATATCACCGGGGAGCTGAATCGGATTCGAGAGGAGGCCGGGAAGGTGAGCCAGGGGAAAGGAGGGGAATGAGGGGAGCAAAGGGGGTAAGACGCGAGTCTGCGGCACATTCAGGCGTTCAACGAGGGCCGCCTGACGCTGCAGCCCGGGTGCAACCCCGCTCAGACCCTCGAGGCGAATATCACCGGGGAGCTCAACCGGATTCGAGAGGAGGCCGGGAAGGTGAGTCAAGGAAAAGAGGGAAGCGAGAGTGAGGGGAACGAGGGGAATGAGGGCAGCAAAGGGGGTACGATGCGAGTCTGCGGCACATCCAGGCGTTCAACGAGGGCCGCCTGACACTGCAGTCCGGATGCAACCCTGCCCAGACCCTCGAGGCGAATATCACCGGGGAGCTGAACCGGATTCGAGAGGAGGCCGGGAAGGTGAGCGCGTGAAGGGACAAGGCTGGATCCTGTATGAAAGCTGTGGTGAGCAGGGGGAGCAAGGCGCATGCGTTCAACACTGCAGCCCGGGTGCAACCCGGATCAAACCCTTGAGGCGAATAATACCGGGGAGACTTTTGACTCAAAAGTCACCTCAACCCGGCTCAGACTCTACTTTGAGGCGAATAATACCGGCGAGCTCAATCGGATCCGAGAGGAGACCAGGAAGGTGAATGGAGGGGGAAGGAGGGGAGTATGAGTGTTGATAGGCTAGTCTACATGTGATTTGCTTGATTTGCGAAATGATCAGTTGGGGAGAGGGTCAATCAAACCTCACAGCTCCTGAGGCCAGCCAAACCCCCTCCCTCCCCTACCTCCCGTCGAACCATTGAACCATTGCAGGTGTCTCTCTGCGAGCTGCATTGGCGCAGCAGCCCACGCACGCATCATGCCACGGTGCGGCTTCAAGGGGTCCAAAAGTGCACCAAGGTCAACAAAAAAGAGGACGGAGAGAGGATTAATTCATGTAGCACCTAACTCCCCCCTCCCCCACGCCCCTCGCCCCTCTCTTCCCCCCCACACCCGCCCAGGTGTGTCTGCGGGAGCTGCATTGGCGCAACAGCCCGCTCATCATGTCGCAGTGCGGGTCCAAGGGGACTTTTGAGGCGCCTCAAAAGTCGTCTAAGTTCCCCCCCCACACCCACGCAGGTGTGTCTGCGGGAGCTGCATTGGCGCAACAGCCCGCTCATCATGTCACAGTGCGGCTCCAAGGCGTCGCCCATCAACATATCCCCCCTTGTGTAACCCCCCAATCCCCAGACCCCTAAACCCCCACACCCTCCACCAACTCTCAAACCCCTTCCTTCAGGTGTGTCTGCGGGAGCTGCATTGGCGCAACAGTCCGCTCATCATGTCACAGTGCGGGTCCAAGGGGTCGCCCATCAACATATCGCAGATGGTGGCCTGTGTGGGCCAGCAGTCCGTCGGTGGCAAGCGCGCACCCAATGGGTTCCTGCACCGCTCCCTGCCGCACTTCCCCCGCCACGACCGCTCGCCCCAGGTGTGCCGTGCGGTGCTGCTGGTGCGTGGTGTGGTGGTGCGTGGTTGTCTGTGGTATGGTGTAGGACCTGGACTGGTCTGCGATCTGTAGGCGTGTAGCGCAGTCTAGTGCGGTGCAGTGCTGTGCCGTGCAGTACAATGCAGCACACAGCTGAACAGTGCGCCATGCAGCATAATTTGCGCCACATTTCACCGCACAGATTTGGCTTGTACCTAAAGGGAAGTCCTGAAATTTCGTGCTCCTTGTTCAGCTCATACTCAACGTTCCCCTTCCCTCCGCTACTGCGACACTTTCTCACCATCCCGGCAGGCGAAGGGCTTTGTGGCAAACTCGTTCTACAGCGGGCTGACACCCACGGAGTTCGTGTTCCACACCATGGGCGGCCGAGAGGGGCTCGTCGATACTGCTGTGAGTGCTCTAAACCTTAACTTTGAAATGAACCCCACGAAGTTTGTGTGATACGGCTGTGAATGCTCCTCCCTCGTTCTACAGCGGGTTGACACCCACGGAGTTCGTGTTTCACACCATGGGCGGCCGAGAGGGGCTCGTTGACACTGCTGTGAGTGCCCCTCCCTCCGCCCACATCCTTCTCCTCGCCTCCGTAGTTCTTACTTCTCCCATGCACGCAACTTGCTTGCACTGCACTCCCACTGAGTTCGTTCGTGTTCCACACCATGGGCGGCCGAGAGGGACTCGTTGACACTGCTGTGAGTGCTCTCTTCCACTGTGTGCCTGTGCCCCTTCCACTCTAGTCATCTTTGACGTTTCTTACGATGCCCGCACCTGCTGTAGCGTTGCCCGTCTGCTCTCTGCTCTTAAAGCCTCTCCAAGAGATTCGTTGTAGTACTCGTTGTCCACAACTGCACCCTGTTGCAGGTTCGCATTCAGGCACCTCCACTCTCTTATTCTCCCAACCCCTCATCGTCAATCAATCCTCCCACCCACCCACCCACCCACCATACCACGGTTTGCATCCTACCTCACTGCTCCACCCCCCTCCACCCCCCCCTCATGTGATTCCCCAGGTGAAAACAGCAGAGACGGGGTACATGTCGCGGCGGCTGATGAAGGCCCTGGAGGATCTGTCAGTGGCGTATGACGGCACGGTGCGGAACGCGAGTGGAGGCATCGTGCAGATGCGGTACGGCGATGATGGCATGGACCCCGCCCACATGGAGGGGAGTGATGGCGGGGCGCTCAATTTGGATCGAACATTTACCACGTGCCAGGTGTGTGGGAAGGTGGGGGGTTGGGAGGCGAGCAAATGCGAGGAACGCCAGTGGCGGCATCGTGCAGATGTGGTATGGTATGGCGATGATGGCATGGACCCCGCGCCCATGGAGGGGAGTGACGGAGGCGCGCTTAATTTGGATCGGACCTTCACTACATGCCAGGTGGGTGAGCAAGGGGATGGCGGGATATTGTGATGGTGGGACGGCGGTATGGCGATGATGGCATGGACCCCGCTCACATGGAGGGGAGTGACGGGGTAGCGCTGAATCTGGACCACACCTTCACCACACCACATACCAGGTGGGTGGGTGGTGGGAGGATGGGAGGACAGGAGGATGGCTGAAGGGTACGCTCCTTACGCTCCTTGTTCCCTTTCCACCAGTCTTCGTCCCCCCTCTCCGCTTTTGACCTTCCTTTTTTTTCTTTTTTTTTCTCTCTCCCCATTTCACTCTCCTTTTTTACTCTCCCTTATCACTCCCCCACTGTTCTCTCCCCCGCTCCCTTTCTCGCCCCCCCTCCCGCTCACACTTCTTCTCGTCCCCCCAACTCCTCCTCCCCCCTTTCACCAGGCCCTACGCCCCATGCGCAGCGACCCCTCTCTCTTCCCCCGCGAGATTCAAGATCGTGCATTTTCCCATCCTGCCCATCCACCCCCCACCCCAACCCCTTACACCCCCCTCCCCCACCTCCCCCTGGACCCCCGCCCTCCCACCAGGCCCTACGCCCTATGCGCAGCGACCCTCCGCTCTTCCCCGACGAGATGCGCGCGCACGTGCAGACAAGATTCGCCGCCCCGGAGTTTGCCGACCCGGAGTCAGAGGGCGGGTGCTCCACTCGGTTCCGAGACTCGGTACTTGGCTTTCTGGACAAGCAGCTGGGGGCGATCGAGGGGACACGGCGGCGACTAGGGATACCGGTTACCAAGGAGGAGGCGGAGAGAGGAGGGGGAGAGGGGGACGGGGAGGGGGAGAGAGTGGGGGATGGTATGGAAGTGGATGGGAGGTCTGGGAAAGATGGTGTTGAGAAAGGGGAAGGGGAAGGGGGGCAAGAAGAGGCGGAAGGGGAGGGGGAGGGGAGGAAGGAGAAGGTGTTGGATAGAGGGGTGGCTGAGAAGGTGGCCCGGAATCTGTGTGGGGTGACGGCCAAGCAGTTGCAGGTGAGGAAATGATGAGTTCTGAGAAGATGACTTTTGAGGCGCCTCAACAGTTGCGGGTGAGGAAATGAGAAGATGTGAGTGCTGAGAAGAGGTGAGTGCTGAGAAGAGGTGAGTCTTGAGAAGGTGTGTGGCATGGCATGTGCGGCATCTTGCAATGCTGTGTGATGAATCGTCAGCATGCCAGCGAAGTGAGCCGGACACAGCAGTGGGTCCGCTGAGGCTCTTCCTCCCCCTCCCCCTCCCCCCCCCCCCCTCCACCTCCCCCTCCCCCTCATCGGTGTTGTCTATTGGTGATGCTCTTCCGCTTCCTCCTCATGCCACCGCCTGCTCTCTCCCTCCCTCCCTTAGTTCTTCCCCCCTGTCCCTCCCTCCCTTGGGTCTCAACACCTTTCCCCAGCTATTCCTGGACACGTGCATTCGCCGCTACCAGTCCAAGCGCATGGAGCCGGGCACAGCAGTGGGGGCCATCGGGGCGCAGTCTATTGGCGAGCCAGGCACGCAGATGACTCTCAAGACCTTCCATTTCGCCGGGGTTGCCTCTATGAGTGAGTGACTGTAAGGGCGTGCCAATGCAGACGTGGGTGTGTTAGGGGTGCAGTCGTTAGGCGAGCTTGGGCGTTGGGCTTGGGCGTTGGGCTTGGGGCTTGGGCGTTGGGCTTGGGCGTTGGGCTTGGGCGTTGGGCTTGGGCGTTGGGCTTGGGCGTTGGGCTTGGGCGTTGGGCTTGGGCGTTGGGCTTGGGCGTTGGGCTTGGGCGTTGGGCTTGGGCGTTGGGCTTGGGCGTTGGGCTTGGGCGTTGGGCTTGGGCGTTGGGCTTGGGCGTTGGGCTTGGGCGTTGGGCTTGGGCGTTGGGCTTGGGCGTTGGGCTTGGGCGTTGGGCTTGGGCGTTGGGCTTGGGCGTTGGGCTTGGGCGTTGGGCTTGGGGCTTGGGCGTTGGGCTTGGGCGTTGGGCTTGGGCGTTGGGCTTGGGCGTTGGGCTTGGGCGTTGGGCTTGGGTGTTGGGCTTGGGCGTTGGGCTTGGGCGTTGGGCTTGGGCGTTGGGCTTGGGGCTTGGGCGTTGGGCTTGGGCGTTGGGCTTGGGCGTTGGGCTTGGGCGTTGGGCTTGGGCGTTGGGCTTGGGCGTTGGGCTTGGGCGTTGGGCTTGGGCGTTGGGCTTGGGCGTTGGGCTTGGGCGTTGGGCTTGGGTGTTGGGCTTGGGCGTTGGGCTTGGGCGTTGGGCTTGGGCGTTGGGCTTGGGCGTTGGGCTTGGGCGTTGGGCTTGGGCGTTGGGCTTGGGCGTTGGGCTTGGGCGTTGGGCTTGGGCGTTGGGCTTGGGTGTTGGGCTAGGGCGTGCCATGCAAAACACAGCAGTGGGTCCCATTGGGGTGCAGTCGTTAGGCGAGCCGGGCACACTGATGACTCTCAAGACCTTCCATTTCGCCGGGTTTGCTTCCATGAGAGAGTGAATGCATGGACGAGTGAGTGTCCATGTGGATGTGCATTTGGGCTGCTCAATGCACAGCAGGGGGGGTGTTGGGTTGGGACGCAGTGCCTTGGCGAGCCAGGCACGCAGATGACTCTCAAGACCTTCCATTTCGCCGGGGTTGCCTCTATGAGTGAGTGCTGACCTTGTTGCTTTCACATGACCATGCAGTCGTCACGCCTCAGCGTGTGCAGCAAGTGTCCCCCCATAACCCCCTCCTCAACAGCCCAGCACAGAAGACTGTGAAGAGCTTGGTTTCGCTGCCGTTGCTTCCATTAATTACGTTCAACGATACAATATTGGTGCGACTTTTGACAATTCTCAAATGTTCAACGATACAACCACCAGTGCATTTCACTTTTCTCCTGCCCATCCCCTCTCTCCTCTGGCCCCATCCGTTCTCTCCCCTTCCCCCATCCCAGACGTGACCCTGGGAGTGCCGCGCATAAAGGAGATCATCAACGCAGCAAAGAACATCAGCACGCCCATCGTCACTGTCAAGCTGCCTCTGAATCGACCCACATGTCATAACCTCTACCGTCTCTCGTCTCCTTCCCTGCATTCCCCACCAATCAGACGTGACTCTGGGAGTGCCGCGAATCAAGGAGATTATCAACGCGGCAAAGAACATCAGCACGCCCATTGTGACTGTCAAGCTGGAGACAGACAACGACGTCAAGGCAGCACGCATTGTCAAGGGACGCATTGAGAAGACGACGCTTGGGGAGGTGAGCGCGTTTGCCACAGCTTTCACTATAGTCACTAGTCACTACTGTAGTCACCACGCTCGCGACAGTCACCACAGTGACAATGGCCACTTGATTCGCTCCTCGCGCCCCCATACACCTTCATGCCATGTCTTCCACGCCCTTCCCCGCTGTTTCCTTCCCATACCCCCACTCCAGGTGGTGAAGAGCATGAAGACGGTGCTGACCCCCAGCCAGGCCATGCTCTCAATCCGCCAGGCCATGCTCTCAATCCGCCAGGCCATGCTCTCAATCCGCCAGGCCATGCTCTCAATCCGCCAGGCCATGCTCTCAATCCGCCAGGCCATGCTCTCAATCCGCCAGGCCATGCTCTCAATCCGCCAGGCCATGCTCTCAATCCGCCAGGCCATGCTCTCAATCCGCCAGGCCATGCTCTCAATCCGCCAGGCCATGCTCTCAATCCGCCAGGCCATGCACCGACTCAGCGCCCTCCAGCTCCACATCACCGCCTACACCGTCGCCGATGCCATCACCTCAGCCTCTCGTCTCCGCATGAAGCTGAAGGCGCAGCACATCCGTGTGGTGAGCGGAGACAAGCTGTTGGTTTACTCGCCCGAGCAGGACCGCAGGCAGCTGCTCTTCTCGCTGCACAGCCTGCGGAAGAAGCTGCCTCAAGTCATGGTCAAGGGCATCGCCAGTGTGGAGCGCGCTGTGATTAACGATCTTGGCGGGGGGAAATACAACCTGCTGGTGGAAGGGTGAGTGGTTGCTTGCAGGTGTGCTGTACACACATGCTCTTCTCTTCTCGCTGCACAGCCTCCGGAAGAAGCTACCTCAAGTGATGGTGAAGGGCATTGCGAGCGTGGAAAGGGCGGTTATTAACGAGCAGGCGGGGGGGAACACCACCTGCTGGTGGAAGGGTGAGTGGGGGATGGGGCTGAGGGAGAGTGTGTGTGGGGGTGGTTCTGAAGTAGAATGCAGTGATACACATCTGCACCGCTCTCCACACCTGTGCTCGTCCCTGGCAACCCTGCGTGTACCCCCACACTCACCCATGCTTGTTCACAGGACCAACTTCGGAGCAGTATTGGGGATAACAGGAGTGGATGGGTGCAAGACAAAGAGCAATCACGTGATGGAGGTGGAATCGGTGTTGGGGATAGAGGCGGCGCGCTATGCCATCATGCATGAGATCAACTACACCATGGGGTCCCACGGCATGACCATCGACCCCCGCCACACGATGCTGCTCGCTGACGTCATGACCTACAAGGTGAGCCGCTGCTGACGTCATGACGTGCAAGGTGAGCCGCTGCTGACGTCATGACGTGCAAGGTGAGGCAATGCTGACGTCATGACGTGCAAGGTGAGGCAATGCTGGCGTCATGACGTGCAAGGTGAGGAGCTGTAGGTCTCACTCACTCCGCTGGTCCTTGGTCCCAACCATTCATCTCCTGCGAATCCTACTGCCCTTTCTTCTCCCCCTCCCTTTCCCTCTCCATTCTCCCTTCCAATACTCCTCCCTTTCCCTCTCCCGCCTCCTCCTTGTATCCCCCCCCCCCAAGGGCGAGGTGTTGGGAATCACGCGGTTTGGCATAGCAAAGATGAAGGACAGTGTGCTCATGCTGGCATCGTTTGAGAAGACCACGGACCACCTCTTTAACGCCGCCGTGCACGGGCGCAAGGACGAGATCGAGGGGGTTTCCGAGTGCATCATCATGGGCATCCCCATGCCCGTGGGCACGGGGCTGTTCAAACTGAAGCAAAAGTGAGTGGGCATCTCCTCCCTTTCTCCTTCACGTTGTTTCCCCCCCACCTCTCCTTTTTCGCTCCAACTTACAGAGTGGGCCAATTCCAGTCCATCCCAGGCACGTTTTGAGTCTCACTTGTTTGTCCTCAACCCTCCCTCCCTCCTCTCTACCAACTTACCGGTAACAGAGTGGATCACATCCCAGTCCTTCCCAAGCGGCCACCACTACTTCTGGGCTAGTGTGCGAAGCACCCCACTCACTCATGGTTGACTCAAGACACGCCACTACACGTGTGTTGGTGTTCTGAACAACATTTTGTACCTGTTAAACACTGTTCAAACGGCTCATTTGTAACCACTGACACCGTGGTGTTCAGATGCGCAAAACACGAGCAATGCGTTCTAGCTTGGCCCTAACCTAGAATAGTTAGGAGTGTGTAATAACAGTAGCTTTTAATTCTTTACAAAACCATGACAACCGAGTTGACTCTTTCAGCTCTGCAGATGAGAATTCTAAACATGGCATTGCAAGCAGATCTGATTGGGGGAGCAACATGGGACGCACATGCTCGGCATGCAGTGTGGTATTTATACGAGAGCCATACAGTACCATATGAGCCGCATGCACCACCACTTTTATGGTACATGGAAGAATGAAAATCAATAGCTCAAATACACAAAGGTGGGTTCCTCGTGTTGTTTCCTTGTATTAATGTACTGTACTGATTCAGTATACTGGGAAAGAACGCAATCCCAGATTGATCACTTGTTGCAGCTTTTTGGGAATTAAAACGGACGCTGATGGGGGTTGTAAGCGAATGACCCACCTCATCTCCTCCTGCAATTATAGGAAGGAGAGATTGATGAAGTGAGCAGGTAGGTGGGCGGGTGGGTGGGTGGTGGGCGGACGCTATGGGTGGAAGGCAACAGTGACAGCCTTTCGTGAACTGGGAGTCAGAGATGAGCAGATTGACAAGACAGGCATCAATGGCAGACACGAAGAGACCTGACATCACAATGATAGGCGGAACCCCAAAAGAAGGTAAGCGAGCGACGGAAATGGATATGGCGGTAGAGTTGGAACTAGAGAGAAAAATGGCGAGAAAGAGAGACGGAGAGAGAGGGGAGCACCTTGCTGACCTCTTAGGTCGGGAGCGATCCATCTCCTCTCCGTAGTCCATGCCCATTCCCATGCCCAGCCCCGATCCTCCTGCTGATGGCCCCTCCACGAACATGGCCTCTGGCCCCCGCATCTCCATCTCAGCCTGTTGGTAGAAAGAGAGAGACAGAATCAGAGAGAAGAAGGGTTGAAGAAGGAAAAAAAAGGAAAATTGGGTGGTGCTATGGGATGGGCCCTCTACGAACATGGCTTCTGGCCCCCGCATCTCCATCTCAGCCTGGTTGCAGAAAGAGAGAGAGTAACGGGAAGGATAGACAGGATTAGAAAAAAAGGTAACGATTCGGGCCAAGTGATGCTACGGGATGATCCGTTCACAAACATGGCTCCTGCCCCCCCATCTCCATCTCATGCAGGGCTGGTATGGCTGAAGCACCTACCCACACGCCCCACCCACACGCCCCACACTCACCCAGATGTTCTTCTTTGTCTCCTCCACCTCCCTCTCGTGCTAAAGTTTCTAAGAGTGCTCACGCACGGTATGGCTGAAGCACTCAAGACCACAAAACCCACCCACCCGCCCATCCACCCACTCACCCGGATGTTCTTCTTGCTCTCCTCCACCTGCTCCTCCACCTCCCTCTTGTGCTTGGCCCACTCCTCCCCCTTCTCATCCGCCCACTGGATCCGCTTCTCTATCGTCCCCAGCATCGCCTCTGACGTCGCCACCCTGCATGCAAAGGGAATACAGTGAAGCAGAGGGGGAAGACATGCAAATGGTGAGATGCTAACGGGGCGGTGGTGGCCATTGAGAGAGCTTGGCGAGGATGGAAAATTTAATCACAATCACGTATGGCTCAAGCTCCTAGCTGGCGCTACCTGCCTCAGCAGACGCAGTTCAGGGAGACTGACCACTGGGAGAGTGTGGCGAGGATGGAAGAGAGCTGGCCGGGCCGGAGGTCCCTGCCTGCTGCAAACTGCACCTCCACACACCGACTCCTCTGGTCCAGCTTGCCCCGCAGAATGCCCTGCCAAGTGGTTACCACCACACCATGCGGTCACCACCAGCATGCCATGCACGTGCCACATGTTGGCACACGGGAGGGATGCAATGCATGCGATTGTCGGGGCTTCGTTCCAACAGGTGTGACTATGATACGTGCATGCATACAAAAAATCTTGCATCAGCATTGCTTGCTTCACAAGCACGTATATGCAGAAGCTGCTCTAATCAGTGCAATACTGGGTAAACACGGCACTGCACAACTATGTGCTGCATACAAGCAGCTCTGTACAATCACATACCGCATACATGCAGTCGTTGATGAGCAAATCTTCCAGCTGTCGTACGTTGCTGACGTCAAGCTGCTCCATGAGTGCGCTGTAGGGGAGAACCTGCTTGTAGCGAGGATGGACGATGTAGAACAGAATGGAGAATCGAACGAGGAGAAATGAAGGGGGCTGCATGGATACAAACCATCTAATGTAGCGGTAAGATGGAACAGAGGGGGAGAGTGGGGAAGGGGAGGGGGTTGGTGGCGTTGGGAATGGAGGAACATTGAGACATTAGGATCCTGACACGGAGCAATTCCAGGCTCCACATCTCTTACCATGAAACCCTAGCGTTGCAACCCACCTTGGAGCCTTCGGCAAGGGTCATCACTGTGAGCTGCTTCAGCTTCAGCTGCTGCTGTGGTTGAAGCTCAGGCAACTGCGTCGATTTCTCTGCACAACGCGGCACGAATGGATCGAAAACCGGCACGCATGGGTATTCCAGCACCGGGTAGGTGCAGTGCAGAAACACTCATAGGTCGCCTGCTACTAGGACGCGAAACGAACGGCGTGGCGGAGATCGTTGTTGCTCATCAGGGGGACAGAAGAGACGCACCTTTGTATTCAGGCCACGTGCCGTACGCGAATAGCCGCAGGACGGCCAGTGCTGCCGCGTGTTCCGTGCCCTCCAACTGCACGCGGAGAGTCAGGATAAAATCTGGGTCTAATTAGGTTTCAAAATTAGCTAGATCACCAAATGCCTTCCTGTTTATAACTTGGCGTAAAACGGGTTGGGAACCGAGGCGAGGTAATTCACCTCTTTAATCTGTGGAACGTCTAGAAGCTCCCCAAACGCGAATAGGTTTGGATCTGACGTGGCTTTTGTGACGAGCTCCACGAGAGATCTCCCTCGAGCGCTCTTAGCTAAAAGCAAGTACTGCTCTAAGCATTCCATCTGCCTCGTCTCCAGCTCCATGGCTCCGCGCTGACCGCGGAGCTCCCTTCCGATTCAGTGGCTGTTTCGGAAGCTCTTATCTGGAATCTGAAAAAAGTTCTAGTAGAATAGGAATGGCGGGGGTAAAAACAACCGCACCTACCGCTGGTAACCGTTTTAGGAGAATAAAGACGCTGGCCAACAGGCCTGAACGAAAACGATGCGACAGAGAAGAGTAGGAAGGAAGATTGATGTGGAATTTGGTGTCACCAAAAGGTATGATCATATCCCAATGTCGAAACACTACAGAAATCAAGCCCTCAATAACGAGTATGTCAGACTGGTGAGTTTTTGTTTTCCAAGTTTACACGTCCAATATCAAGTCCTGCATCTTGTAAAGGGCCTGGAAACGCAGGTGATGGGTCAACGTCCTTTAGCCACAAATGCAGGAATGTATAACGGGTATGGATGAGGGCAACCCAACGTACTCTCGTTGGCAGAGTGCAGGCAAGCATTCGAAGCTGCAAGCCAGCAGTGAGAACGACTGCTCCGTGTCGGGCCAGCGTGACGCTGACGGAGCTGACAGAACCAAACATTCTCACGTCAGGTTTTCACCAACCAGGTGCCGTAAACCGCCACTCGAGGGCCAATAGCACAGCACCGAAATCTGACACGAACCTGTCCGTGGTCCCCACCTCTTGGGGCTCCAGTGTTTGCCGTCGCGTTTTCCGTCAACTCTGCTTTCAGTTCTTTTCCCTCGGTAGTGTCGTGTTTCCACTTCCCTTCAGCCCTACTTCTCACCCACTACTCCAATTTTCCCTCCATCACTCCCCTCCCCACTTCCTGCCTTCGCCACAGCACGTTTTGCTGTTTTTTCGGCGACAACCCAGGCTGACTGAGACGCACGCGCCTTGTAAATTCTATCCACTGCATTCTAGAAGGCGATTCAACGATGGCGAGAGAGACTTGAATGGAATGCGTTATCGTTTCACTATGACTTCCTCTCCTCTGCTTCAACTCGCATCGCCGCCCAGCCCGCTCCCGCTCGCTTACGACGTGCGTCCGACCTCCCTGCGAGGAGGCAGCGACTTCTGGGCCTTTTTTCAGCAGCGGCAGGACAAGCTGGAAGAAACGACTCGCCAGAGTTTCTCTGACCAATCAGAGGCCTCCGCGTGTTCCGAGCTGCGCGATAATCCCGAGGGCCCGAAGGCAATTGAAGACCCTCGGGTAGACGAGGACGGACAAGTGGACGATGTCAGAATCAGTGACGGAGGAATAGCGATAGTTAAGACTTCCTCCAGTTCCTCCAGTTTAGTTAGTCCGCAGAATTTTCTCCAGCAGCAATTGTCGTTGCCGAAACGGAGACCGTTAGGCCCGCCAGTGCAAGGATCGTATCTGTCCAAGCGCGAAGACGATAAGGGCAAGAAGCCGTTGTTTTCCTTCGGGGTCATCACCGATGTTCAGTACGTCGCTCATATCCCATTTCGTCCCACTTCAATATAGCCGTTGATTCTTTGAGAAATTAGTGACTCCAATAAAGCCGTTGTTTTCCTTCGGGGTCATCACTGATGTGCAGTACATCGCGCGTACCCTATTCCTTCCCAGCTTCTCCTCTACCTTCCCATTGTCACAGATGTCTAAAAAGCTCACGAACAGGTGTTTCCGCTCTGAGTCAGGGCACGACATTGTCCATTCGTAATTCAGAAACTCTAGTTGTGACATTTTACGTCGTCCCTCGCGGCACGGGCAAACTCTCACTCATACGCGCCTATGACGTGCCGCTCCTTCGCTTGCAGATACGCCGATATCAACGACGGCCAATCCTTCCTCGGCATCCCGAGGTTTTACCGCAATAGCCTTGAAGGTACCCGACACGACGCTTCAAGCCGCTCCACTCTAGCTGCCGCTTCAGACAATGCTTCAGCCCGTCTTCGAACATTGCCTCTCATTGTGTTACATTGCCTGAACTCTTTTGTCTGCACCCCTGTTCCGTCTTGTCCGTTGTCCCTGTGGACAAAATCTCTCGCAAACAGGCTCAATTATGCGTTTCCTTCTTGTTCTCCTGCCTCAGTGTTCATCACGACGCTTTATAAGTCGTCGTCCGACCATGTCCCGTTGCGGTGGCCACTCTCCCTCGTCGCCCGCTCTTCCTTTTTGTGCCTTTCCGTGTGTTTCCCCATCCCCCTCTTCCCGACCCTCCTCTCCCCCACCCCGCTTTCCCCTATCCCCATCTTCCACACCCCGCTTTAACCTACCCTATGATTTCCCATGCCGCACCCCCCTACCCCGTTTCCCCCTACCCTCCTCCCCCCACCGCGGCACCGCCCTCTCCCCCCCCAGTTGTGAAGAAGGCGGTGGAGGATTGGAACCAATCAACGCGTCCGATGGCGTTTGCGGTTCATTTCGGTGACATTGTGGACGGCTTCTGCCCCAGGGACAGGTCCGAGGAAGCTGTGAACACGGTGAGGCTGGGCAGGTTGGTCAGCTATGCCTGTGTCGCTTTGAGAAGTGACACAAGCGTCGCGGCATTGTGGACGGCTTCTGCCCCAGGGACAGGTCCGAGGAAGCTGTGAATACGGTGAGTTGGGCAGGTCCGTCAACGTTGACTGAAATCGTCAACATGATGACATTGTGGACGGCTTCTGCCACAGGGACAGATCCAAGGAAGCTGTGAACACGGTGAGGCTGGGCATGTATGTTCACCGCACGCCCATACGCTGCACCGCACGCCCATACGCTGCACCGCACGCCCATACGCTGCACCGCACGCCCATACGCTGCACCGCACGCCCATACGCTGCACCGCACGCCCATACGCTGCACCGCACGCCCATACGCTGCACCGCACGCCCATACGCTGCACCGCACGCACATACGCTGCACCGCACGCCCATACGCTGCACCGCGCGCCCATACGCTGCACCGCACGCCCATACGTTGCACCGCACGCACATACACTGCACCGCACGCACATACACTGCACCGCACGCCCATACGCTGCACCGCACCCTCATATGCTGCACCGCACGCACATACGCTGCATCGCACGCCCATACGCTGCACCGCACGCCCATACGCTGCACCGCACGCCCATACGCTGCACCGCACGCCCATACACTACACCACACTCCCATACGCTGCACCGCACGCCCATACGCTGCACCACACGCCCATACGCTGCACCTCCGCGCACATTGCACCGCACGCACATTCACCATAGACTGGCACTAGCCTGTCTCATTACTCATCCCCCACCTCATATCATATCACTACCCTACACCCACCCCATCTCACTACCCTACCGCACCCATCTCACCACCTTACCCCCACCCCATCTCACCAACCCCATTGCCCATTTCAGGTTCTGGATGCATTGGCTGGGTTCGAAGCCGGGCCCACATACCACATGATCGGTATGTCTCCACACTGCTTTTGCTCCTGTCCGCCAGGCATGCTTTGCCTGCATTGACCGCATTGACCACACATGCTAGTCTACTTCCCGGGTCAAGAGTGCCTTCTCTTTCTGAGACGCTTCAACACGATTCTTGTGCCTGCATCCCGCTGCCAGCATCGCGCTGCCTGTCCATTGTGATGCTGGCGCCTTAGAAGCGGCTAGAAAGAGCACGCCACGATTCTTGTGTTTCATCGTGGCGTGCTCTTTCCAGCCGCCTCTAAGGCGCCTCAAAAGATGCCAGCCTCCTCATCCTCCTGTCTCGTAGCCTTCCTCCATCCAAGCGTTCTCTCTAAACTCTTGCACATCCTGTCTCGTGTGCGTGTATGCCAAATTCTTCCTTCCCCGCCCCACCCACCGCACTGCACCGCAGGCAACCACTGCTTGTACAATCTGCCCCGCGTGGCTCTCAATAAGATGCTCGCCATCCCCACTGCTGCTGACAACCGATCCTACTATGACTTCTCGCCCTTCCCTAACTTCAGGTGCCGCCCCCTTCCTCTCTGTCTTTTCCCCAGTTCTCTAGCACATTCTTCCATGATTCACCGACGCCCCGTCTTTGCTCCCCCACTCTGCGCCCCAGCTTGGTTGTGCGTAAGAAACCTCCCTATATTCCCCCCTCTGTACCCCATTCGCACCCCCCCTCCCTGCGTCCAGGTCATTAGTACTGGATTCAATGACGTGAGTCTGTTGGGGTGGCCTGAGGACCACGCGCGTGTGTGAGTCAAGAAATATATGATGTTCCGCCCAACCCGCCCCTTTTTCTCCCTACGCCTCCCCATCTCCCGTCCCTGCGTCCAGGTTCGTTGTATTGGATTCGTACGACGTGAGTCTGCTGGGGTGGCCAGAGGACCACCCGCACGCAGTGAAGGCGAGAGAGGTGTTGGAGAGGGAGAATCCCAACGAGGAGAAGAACAGCCCTGAGGGACTCGAAGGGTTGAACAGGTGAGAGTTTGGGGGATTGAATAGGTGAGAGTTTGGGGGATTGAGTAGGTGGGAAATTGAAGGGCTTAACAGGTGAAAGGAGGGGACGCAGCAGCTTGACTGCATTCAGGGGTCAGAGCACCAGCACTCGCAGTGAGGGCGAGGGAGGTGTTGGAGAGGGAGAACCCCAACGAGGAGAAGAACAGCCCTGAGGGGCTAGAAAGGCTCAACAGGTGAGAGTGAGGGAGTGATGCGGCATGTGAAGTGAGGGGTTTGGGTGGATTCATTGCACCATCCACGCGCAGGGAAGGATGCGTTGATCTTGTGCCCATTCGCCCGCCAACCACACTTGCTGCCACTGCTCGTTCCCCATCCTGCCCATGCGTGCAGGCGGTTTGTGAAGTTCAACGGAGGCGTGGGGGAGGAGCAGCTCCGGTGGCTGGAAGGCGTGCTATCTGTAGGTCCTCCAACCCGAGCCTTCTTTCCTTGGCTTCGCACTTCATCCTTTCTTCCTTCTGGGGCATTTTGGCTCCGTTCAAAGCTGCCCATTCTCAACTCATCCTGCCGTGGCGTCCAATTCCCATAACCAGGAGTGCGATGCGCTGGGAGAAACTGTGGTGCTGTGCTGCCACCAGCCCATTGAACCCACTGCTCTGCCCACCGCCACCTGCCTTGTCTGGAACTATGATGAGGTGAGCGTGACTTTTGGGACTGCGTCAAGGTGAGTCTTTTGAAGGTAAGTATGACAAGCTCAGCCTGCTTTACCCCAACCCCCACTCCTCTCCACAACCACCATATTTACACACCTCCTGATGCCGTCCGTCCTCTCTCCACTTCCGCCCCTCCGTTCTCTCTCGTACACACCCGTGCACTCTCCTCCCCGTCTTTCCCCCCTTCACCACACGTGCCAACAGGTGCTGGCGGTTATTCACAGGCACGAGTGTGTGGCAGCAGTGATAGCAGGGCACGCGCACTTCGGAGCATATGCGCTGGACGCCAGAGGCATTCACCACCGCATCCTGGAGGGAGCCGTGGAGTGCCCCCCCGGCACCGTGGCGTTCGGCCATGTGGACGTGTATCCGGACCGCCTCTGCATCATTGGCAAGGACCGCATGCTCTGCACTGAGATGAAGTTCCCGTGTAGGCCTGGCGCTGCTGATCTGTAGCATCTGCCCCCTGCCTCTCTCCTCTCACCGTACCCCCACACCTGTCGCGATCTGCCTCGTGTTTGGGCATGTGGACGTGTATCCTGACTGCCTGTGCTGTGCACATTGGCCGGGACCGCATGCTCTGCACTGAATTGAAGTTCCCGTTTAAACCTGGCAATCCTGATCTGCTGTAGGCCTGGCACCTCTCCCTGCTGTCACGCCTCTCGCGCACCCGGACCAGCTGTGCATCATTGGCAAGGACCCCATGCTCTGCACTGAGATGAAGTTCCCTTCTCGAGCCGGCCACTCCGCTCTGTAGCAGCTTCCTCCCTGCTTTCGCCAGCACACCCGTCTCAATCTGCCTTCCCCCTCACGCACCAGTGTGTATCCTGACCGCCTGTGCTGTGCATCATTGGCAAGGACCCCATGCTCTGCACTGAGATGAAGTTCCCGTGCAGTGCAGGTCTGGCAACGCTGACTTGTAGCATCTGCCCCCTTCATCTCGCCACCGCACGCCTCTCCACCTGCTTTCCTCCTCTCGTGCACCCGGACCAGCTGTGCATCATTGGCAAGGACCGCATGCTCTGGACTGAGATGAAGTTCCCTTCACGAGCCGGCCACTCTGCTCTGTCGCGGCTGCATCCCTGCTGTCACGCCTCAGTGCATCACTGGCAAGGACTGCATGCTCTGCACTGAAATCATGTTCTTGTGTAGGACTGGTGGCTCCGGATCAATAGCATCTGCCTCTCTCCTCCACTCGCTGCCACACCCGGGCATTCTGCCTTCCTCTTGTTGCCACACTAGCATCAACCTGCTTTTCACCTCCCGCCTCTCTTAACGTACTATGGTACTTGCCTGTGCCGCATGTGATTCCATTTTGAAGAGTTACCCTAGTCAATAATATTTTCTGCTTTTCACAACAACAAAGGGCGTGTTCCTTCCTACGGCCTCTCATCAAGGGAACCTCTTGTCAGACTTGCGTCGAACCGCTCTGTTTCGCATTCAGTTGCAATAGAAAGATTGGACTGCACAAGTCTGAGAAACAAGGGCTGCCAGCCACGGATAAGAGGCGTAGGAAGGAACACGCCCAAAGACACCAGTTGGCAGTGGCAGCATTTCAATTGTTTGTCACAAGTGCAACACCATAAAACGGTAGAAACAGCGAGGAGAAGAAAGGCATGGTGCAAGCGCCCATTGTATGAAAATCACTGGTAGGGATCTGCTTGACTACCAAAGCAATCAATACGGTACCAGCAACAAGGCAAACGCGAAGAATCGCCTCCTATGCTGCAAAGGCAAGTCATAAAGGGGATTCACAGGGGCAATTTACAAAGGCCAGGGTCAGTGTCAGCTGGGTAGGCCAAGAGGAGCCTGGGTAGGTGGGAGGGTTGCGAGCATCATCGGTCATCGGCGCTCGCAAATGAAGAGCGCTCGCTGCACTTCCTGCACATGTGCGGATCCTTCCGCGTTTTGGGGCTGGAAGTGCTCGTTCCGAGCGTTTTTCTTCCGCCGGGTCACGTGGCTGCGCTTGTCTGGGCCTATAACCAAGCCAGCAAGGGCGTGGGAGGGTTGCGAGCATCATCGGTTATCGGCGCTCGCGAATGAAGAGCGCCCGCTGCACTTCCTGCACAAGTGCGGATCCGTCCACTTTTTGGGGGTGGAAGCGCTCGTTCCGAGCGTTTTTCTTCCGCCGGGTCACGTGGCAGCGCTTGTCTGGGCCTATTGCCAAGCCAGCAAGGGCGTGGGAGGGTTGCGAGCATCATCGGTCATCGGCGCTCGCGAATGAAGAGCGCCCGCTGCACTTCCTGCACATGTGCGGATCCGTCCGCTTTTTGGGGGTGGAAGCGCTCGTTCCGAGCGTTTTTCTTCCGCCGGGTCACGTGGCTGCGCTCGTCTGGTCCTATTACCAAGCCAGCAAGCGCGTGGGAAGGTTGCGAGCATCATCGGTCATCCGCGCTCGCGAATGAAGAGCGCCCGCTGCACTTCCTGCACATGTTCGGATCCTTCCGCATTTTGGGGGTGGAAGCGCTCGTTCCGAGCGTATTTCTTCCGCCGGATCACGTGGCTGCGCTCGTCTGGTCCTATTACCAAGCCAGCAAGGGCGTGGGAAGGTTGCGAGCATCATCGGTCATCGGCGCTCGCGAATGAAGAGCGACCGCTGCACTTCCTGCACATGTGCGGATCCTTCCGCGTTTTGGGGGTGGAAGCGCTCGTTCCGAGCGTTTTTCTTCCGTCGGGTCACGCGGCTGCGCTTGTCTGGGCCTATTACCAAGGCAGCAAGGGCGTGTGAGGGTTGCGAGCATCATCGGTCATCGGCGCTCGCGAATGAAGAGCGCCCGCTGCACTTCCTGCACATGTGCGGATCGTTCCGCGTTTTGGGGGTGGAAGCGCTCGTTCCAAGCGTTTTTCTTCCGCCGGGTCATGCGGCTGCGCTTGTCTGGGCCTATTACCAAGCCAGCAAGGGCGTGTGAGAGCTGCGAGCATCATCGGTCTGTCAGAATGAACAAGGGTGATTGAACTAGGAAAGAGTTGGGTACAAGTAGGAAACCCTAAACTTACTGTACCCCATAGTAACTACCCCATTACAGCCTGAACAAACTGTAGCAGATATGAGATTTGACACACCCCCATAGGCAAAGTGGGGGAGAGCAAGGGGTCACAAGACCAGTCTAGAAGGGCAAAGCAAGCTCAGGGTGGATCACAAAGTCACCACACTCACTGAGCACAAGCAAAGGGCCACAAGGCCAGTTCACATGCAGAGGCATATATGCAACACAAACATCACAGTGATCTCTACCTAGCAAAGCAAGCATGCAGGTATATATATATAGATCACAGTACAAGCAAAGCCTACAGCAAGTGAGGAAAGTGGGCACAAGCCCTAGCATAGTGCAAAAACGCTGATGATCACCAGACTGAAGTGCCTTGGTGAATATATCAGCAGTGTTGGCCCGAGTGGCCACGTAACGCAGACGAAGCTGACCATGCTGCTGCAACTCTCGAGCCAGGAAGTACCGCAGAGCGATGTGCTTCGTTCTGTGCTCCAGTCTGTGCTCCTCACAGAAGGCAATGGCAGCCTTGTTGTCGACGTACAGCACTGGAGGAGAACGAGGCGGCTCTCCCAAGTCAGTCAGCAGGTAGGTGAGCCAGCGTAACTCCTGTGCAGCCATGGCTGTGGCGTAGATCTCAGCCTCACAACTGGAGCTGAGAACTGAAGACGAGCGTGTAGAACGCCAAGAAACTGAACCAGAGCCAAGGCTGAAGGTGTAACCCTGTGACGACCGCTGAGTAGCCTGATCGTCAACCCAAGAAGCGTCTGAGTGCCCAGTGAGAACAACTGAGCTCCTCCCTCCAAGCACGAGCCCCATGCCTGATGTACTGCACAAGTAGCGTAGTACCCTCTTAGCAGCATCCATGTGCACCTTTCGGTGCCGACCAGGAGCCACGTAGCGAGCCAGAAGGCCAAGAGGATACGCGAGGTCAGGACGAGTGCAAGTCATCAGGTACATGAGGCAGCCAACTAGCTCTGGGTAAGGACCACTCGGCTCTACGGACTCGTCCGAAGGTGGAGCTGAGAGCGAGTGACCTGTAGCCAGAGGAGTGGCCTGTGCTGAGGACCAGGTGAAGCCGAAGCGCTGAAGGACCTGCTGCACCATGTGTGACTGAGTCAGTGTGATGGTGCGGCGTGCTCTGTCCCGGGTGATCTGCAAGCCAAGGTAGCTGCGCAGTTCACCCAGGTCTGTGCACGTGTGTCTCTTCTGCAGCTCCGACTTCACGTGGGCGAGAGCCTCTGTGTCAGCAGTGGCAAAGACCAAGTCGTCGACGTTCACGAGGATGTAGAACGGCGGCAGCGAAGTGTCAGTGCGCAGAAACAGTGACGGGTCAGCAGTAGAAGGCGCGAACCCAAGAGCCGCAAGTGTAGTCCTCAGTGTGTCGTGCCACTCACGTGGCGCCTGGCGGAGACCGTAGACCGGCCGCCGGAGGCTCCACTGGGTACCAGGAGGGAACGACCCAGTGAAGCCAGGAGGGCGGCGCAGCCAGATCTCCTCGTGCAGGCTGCCCTGCAAGAAAGCTGTGCTGAAGTCAAGAGAGTGAAGCTCGTAGTCACGCTGAGCGGCAATGTGCAGTAGCACCCGAAGAGTGGTCATCTTCGGGGTGGGGGAGAAGGTATGGAAGAAGTCTACTCCCTCTCGCTGACTGAAGCCTCGAGCAACGTAACGAGCCTTGAAGACAGGCGGAGAACCTGGCGGCCGCTTCACCCTGAAAATCCACATGCCACTGACGATGTTCGCCCCAGGAGGGGGAACCTCGTCGACGTAGGTGCCTGTGGACTTCCAGGATGCCATCTCTGCGTCCATGGCTGTCTGCCACTGAGAGGAGTACTCACCCGCGATCGCCTCAGCGTAAGAGCGCGGGGTCGGGATGTCTGGTGCATCCGGGTCTCCCTCAGGTGCAATCAGCATGGACACGAGATGAGGTACAGCGGCGACGAAGCACTCAAACTCCTCCTGCCTGTCCTCAAGGACGTCCGTGCCAAGAGCACACTCACCCCCGACGGACGGAGGACAGACAGACTCAGACTCAGACTCAGCAACAAGACTCGCAGCGTAGTCTAGACGACAGTGAGCAGCAGAGTCGACAAGCTCAGCAACTAAGGCAGACGCAGCAGCTGACTCAAAGGAAGGGTCAGTGACAGCAGTGGCCAGGAGACGCGTGACAGTAGGACTAGCAGCACGAAGAGAGTCAGACTCCGGGTCAGCAAGGGCAGGAAGAGAGGACGCAGGAGGAGAAGGCAGGAAGACACGCTGTGGAGCAGTGGAAGGACGAAGAGCCATCTGGTGAGTGCCTGGGACAGCAGGAGGACGCTGACGCGGGACACGACGACCAGTACGAGCAGCACGAACAGGTGACGCAGACCGAGACTCAGGCGACACAGGACGAGACTCAGGCTCACGACGCTCCGTAAGACCGCCTGTCGGACCAGTGTAGGGAGAAGGACCAGGGAGTGGCGAGGCAGG